TATTAGCTTTTAAGCTAAAAAAAATCCAAGATTGTTGGTTCTAATCATCAGTAAGAAGCAAAAAATATCATAATTTATTTATTCATGGAATCAAAAAAAGGTTGTTAAGGTTAGTATAGATGAGTGTAAGAAGCATGGTCATTTGATGAGTCATTTTTTTCAAAATTTCTTGATAGATTTGCTTGCCTTTGAGATAAGTTATACAAAGTTGAAAAGTAACATTAAAAACTAGGATGCCAATTACAAGATTTTATCTGATTAATATATCCAAACTATCAAAATTTACATGATTAAGATGTTTATGCGAAAGTTTGGATATATTGGCAAAATTTTGATTCATATGAATGAGTAAACTTTGATTTTATGGTTTCTTGGAAATGCATAAAGCTTGTATAACCTAGTTCTATTATTTTGTCAATCTAAGAGGAAGAATATATGCAATTTTCTTTGATTAAAGATAACACAAGAAGATCAATCAAATACAAGAATATGCCCATCATTTGTAAGCAATTCATAGATAAGATATTACAATGAAGGCCAAAAACATATTTCACATCTATGACAATATTTATTTATCACAAAGATAGGAAAACATCAATTGGTCCACGTCTTTTGATTACATGAACATGCCATCTTGCTAAGATTATAGAAGATGAATAAAATGGAACTAGATATTGAAATAAATTTTTATTCCTTGAAAAATGAGCCAAAGCCCCAAAATCAAAGATCCAATTGAATTTTGTTCCTTGCAATGTGAGCAAATCAAAGGTTGTCTTTAAGAATTCTTTAGAATGGGATTTGTCATAAGATTATTCTAATTATTCTACCTTGTTAATATTAGATTGATGAAAAGAGGACTATAGATTGTAATTTATAATTAAATGTATGAAAAAAGTAATTTGATAAGAAGAAGCTTAAGGTTGCAATATTGATCTATAATTCAATGGTGATATAATATAAAGAAGTATTAGTGCAGGATAATACCTAAAGGTATATCAATGATTGCGACAAGAATAGAAAAAGTTATTGAGGTTTATTTGACTACAAAAAGAAGTTTTATATATATGGTATTAATGTGGAGCCAAGTAAAACCTATTAATTGCATATCAAAGCTACATAATAAGTGTATTGTTAGAATTAGTTTGTTGGAATGATAGATGATGGTCTTCTATATGAAGCCAAGGACTAAGTTTCTTGAAAAGAAGGATTTTTTTGCTCATTAAGAATTTAGGCAAGCAAATAAATTAAATCATTGTAGTAAGAAGCTAAGGATTTTGTAGACAATAAGAGCATTTTTTTGAAGATGGCCATTGTGTACTAATTCACATTTATGACATCATTATGTCCATGTTTTTAGATGTCTATAAATTCTTCTATTTATTGAGCACCACCATTGTATCAGCAATGGTGTATGTGTAATACATACTTGCAAGCTTATTCCAAGCAATATGCAGATCCATGATGTCTTATACAAAAATGCATAGGTTGAATTATAAAAAAAAAAACTTAATGATGGAGAATATATATTATTAATTGAACCAAAGTCTTTTGGAATCTTGTATGGGCTTTTTGATTGCAATTGATGGTAAAATAGAAGACACTAGTGTCCATGAAATTATGGCCTTAAATAGTTGAGCTTGTTGTTCCAAAAATTATATCATCTAAGATTGGTAGAGCTATTGAGAGAAGTGTTTCTCCTACCACATGCCAAAGTTCTTTCCTAAAGAAGATACTATATAATATTGACTTTTAGAGTCAAAATTTTGATGGTCCTATAAGCGCCACTTTCTTAGAGACAAGAATATCTATAATGTCTATCAAAAAATAAGATAAAAATAAATAAATAAATAATATTGTGCAAATAAATTAATTGAATTTGAATGAAGAATAGAATTTTATAACACATACTATGACATCACTTAGAGGGACTAACAATGTGCAACTAATACATAAAAATTAAAGAACTTAGGACCTAATCTAGTCTAATATCATATAAAAAGAAAATAATATATATATATATATATATATATATATATATATATATATATATATTATATTACAAGACTTGAGCAAGTCTATACATTTATACACAAAGTATTGGAGTTAACATTGATAAAGATGAATAAATGCATATTTTTATCATTGAAAATATTAATTGTAAGTGATCAGTTTGTGATTTTGCTATTAACACCAAAAGAATATTTTCTTAAATAAATGAACAACTTTGGTGTATGTTGTATATTAGAGGTAATTATTTTTATTTTATTTTTATTTTTATTTTTTCCTTTCTTAGAGATGAGAAGAAAGAAAGAAAGAGAAAAAAAAGAGATCTAGACGGATTCTATCTCTAATGACTTAATTCAAAGATCAGTCACTTGCTAATGTTTCTTCATCAATCTTACATAATTTGATAAGAACTAGGCTTGATTCAGCAATAATAAAGGACTATAGACCATTCTCATTGGTTACATAATCACTTAATCAAATTTAATCATATTGAGAATGAGGAAATATAGAAGCCAATATTTATTGAATATGCACATTTGATACAAAATCCCAATTACATTCACCAACTGTGTTATCATTATAATTATATTTTAAAATTATTATGCAATTGAGTACGGTGAGTTAGTTGGATTTTTTTTAAATAAGTATAGTTGTTTTATCATGTAAACACCAAAAAGTGTTGAATTCATGAAAAAATCAGCATAAAAATGCGGCCAATAGTAAAGGTTTCTACTAGTCTCTCTCTCTATATATGAATATATATATATATATATATATATATATATTAAAGAATCTACTTAACAAATCTAAATACAATTTGATTCATATGTAAGTAGTTTTAGTATTTAGCTTATATTAGCATGTAAGACTTAAATATAATAGTTTTAAATTATATATATATATATATATATATATATATATATGTATCTCTATTATTATGTAAAAAATTAGAATTTTAAAACTTTAAATAGTAATTTACTTGATTCTTGTTTTTCTTTATTTTTATTTATTTATTTATTTATATAGACATATATTAAAAAATTAAATTTAAAAAAAAATGCATGTATAATTTTTTACATTTTTTTGAAATATTTGTTAGAAAAATATTATTGATATTATTAATTTGAAAAAAATTAAAATAAATTTTAATAAGGAAAAATTTATTTTAATCAAGTTATTTCATTATTTTTTTCATGTCTTTTAAAGGACATTACATTGTTTAAATTCAATTTAAAGAACATTATCAATTCATGATTTATCTATATAAAATATTTCTTGTTTATGTGCAAAATTGTGTCATTCTTTTTTTGGCTATTGTTGCATGTTTGAAAATCCATTGTGCAATTTATATTTATTTATCAAGGCCAAGACATTCTATTATGATGCTTTTTATTTTGTGTCTTCACAACCCTCAATTTTGAAAGGATTGAAATCATTTAAAAAAAAATGAATAATGAGAAGTTTAATTGGATGAGAAAGCTCTCCAACAAAGTAGGCTTGTATTTAGGATTAAGTATCTTGATGTGAATGAAAGTTCATAAATCAAAGTTGGCAAAAGTTGTAACAATTTTTATGACGTGGAAGCTCTGAATCATACTATTGCCTTAATTGAATTATTTTATTGACTGTAAACGGTATTTTGCACAAAATATTTTATTCAATCTCTTATTTCTTACCATTTTAAAATATTGTATGTTTTTATGGTAAATGCTGTAATATGTTTCACACTAACACTGGATTTGAGTTTATTGATTTTTTGATATTCATTATTTATTTATTTATTGTAAATATTAAAAAATAAATCTAAAACTAAATAGTTTCAATAATTCAATATATTTACAAAATCATCAAAGAAAAAACACTATTTTTAACTTAATTTTAATTACACATATATTTTATATATATATATTAAAGGTTTGGTATCTTCATAACAAAAATCTCAATACAAAATTGTATAGAACATGTATTTAGAAATTTATTTATAATTTTATTTCTTAGTATTTTTTATTTTGATATAATCTTAGAATTTCATAGTACATTTTATTTTAAGCATTGAGCACAAGGATTTGTAACATACATATAGAGAATTCTTAATACTACATTTCCATTTGATATCACTACACTCCATGTAACCTCTTCATCAACCACTAGTTAATAAAATATTTTTTTCTTATGCACATTTTTTTCCTTTCTTTGCTTTGAAAAATAATGGTGTTTGAGAAAGAAACATTAAATACTTAAAATAAAAAATAAATAAAATAAAATAAAATTTTGAGTCTTTTTTTATAAACAAAAGCATAATATTTACCTCAAGAAATGTTTATTTCATTGCCAAAAATACAAATAATATTTCATTTATTTATTCTATTTTTGGATCAATATTGGGATTGAATAGTGGGCTACCAAATGCACCCCAAGCAAAGAAACACACTTATTAGTCAATTTAAGTTGTGTGAAGGTCACGTAGCAACATCAAATAGAGATGTAGCATTAACAATTCTCTATTTGTTTATATGTGTCTCTCTCTTTGTATGTATGTATGTATGTATGGATATATATATATATATATATATTTTGTTAGCACTTCCAAGCGATGCTTGCAGCTACAATAGATTTATAACAATAATACCACACTAGAATCTCATCTCGTACAATCAATTTTGATTTTGGAATGTCAGAACATAATGAAAGAAGCATAGAAGTCGATTAATTATGTAAATTGAATGAATGTGGCAAAGGAGAGTAGTGGGATATTATTGAAGAATAATAGAAGCATGGTGACGTGGACCCACGGAATCCACACTAAAAAGCTCCACAACGCAGCGAGGGATACCGCCAGCTGTCAGGTCGAATTTCCCAATGGTGCTCCGTTTCACGGAATCGATGGAAAGTAGGATAATGAAAACGAATGAATTTCATCCTTATGACGAAGGTTCCGTCATAAATCATCCATCAAGATGGGCTTTGCGCCTAAGCCGCTAGAATCTGGTGCTGGGAGCTCGCGCGCTGGGTGCGAATGCGTGGCCGTCGTGCTTGCATTCTCAAAGCGAGACGAGCGACCATCGATTGATCGCGGAGCGCTGAGAGTGGAACCACACGCGGGAGGGGCGATGTGGACCCCGAGGCGGTCGTGACCATGGCGGACGAGAAGAGAGGAAGGCTGCAGCGTTGAGCCTGCTCAAGAGGCTGGTCTCGGAGAGGAATGAGAGGCTATGGCAATGTCATTGTCATCGCAATGCTCCCGGGTCCAAGTCGGAGTAGTCCGAGTTACGAACCTCACCATCGTTTCCACTTCGACGCGGTCTTGTCTTCGCTCCGGGGAGGAGCCTTGGGCGGCCTTCGTTGGTAGCTGTCGCAGGTGTAGGGGATCGAATTTGAAGGTGGTGGATTGTGCAGGGTTGTTGCATCGGCTTGGGAAGTCGCCGGCAGAGAGGCGAGGGGCGGGGTTCTTTATCGCGAGGGAGAGTGCGTCGAAGCATTGTAGACCGCAGCTGAAGAGGTGTGCAGTGGTAAGTTATGGAGGTTTTGCTTCCTATTCCATAGTCTGGAGAGAGATTTCGTTTTTTCAGTTGTTATCGCACATGGGGTTTTGATCATTAGAGCCACTGGTCAGCTTCTGCATTTGCTTCTGTCTAAACTCAGAAACGATGAGAACAGATTTCGATTTGAAATTCGCTTAGTGTGAGAGAGAGAGAGAGAGAGAGAGAGAGAGAGAGGAGGAATGTAATCCTGTAATCAGCATTGCTCTCGGAATCGGTGTAAATGAATCGAACAAACTGGTTACGAAGTATTATGAATGAGATCCCCGTCAGTATAACTATATTCTCAGCTTTTTGACCGGGGTTAACAGATTGATTCACCTAATTGGAATGGTGCCACCACATCCAACAATTTGGAATAATACTCGTAGTATGTAATCCATTTTGCTTCGGTTAGCTTTGGCTCAAGTATTTCATGTCCCTATTGTAGGAGCACGAGATTGACGCAATCACTTATCGGATTATGCCAGGCTCTCTCGATCTTTCGCATTCATAAGTCCGATTCCATCTTCTTTGCAAGCGTAGAAACTGGTTTAATTATGCGGAATGCTTTTATGCATTAGCACGAATTATGATTGCAACTTACTGCTGTAAAATATCCATCTGTGAAATATAGACTATTTTCAGCAATGAGGAGATGGTGTGGGCTCTATTTTTGATGTAATGGTCCAGTGTCCAAGGAGAAACTGAACAGAAGTGTATGCAATCTGCATGTTTTAATAATCAAATGGTGGTTTACTGCACTATCTCAGCTGTCGTGGACTTTAATTAAGATTTTTTCTGAAGTATAGTTTGATACCTTAGAGCTTTAAATTCGAAACTTTAAAATGAATAATCTCCTCGGTTGATTTGCAACCAATTGGTTGGCTCATTTTTCCGAGCACGGGAGAAGAAGTATTCTACACGCAGAAGTTTATTGACATATTGCCAAAGTTATTCTTATGTCTAGCTCGCATGTGGTACTAAATCCACTTTAGGCCTCGCAAGTTGTTATGGTTGGAACATTCATGGTGACCCTTGCTTAGTGGATGTACCTGTTGTTTTGATATCTCTTTTGGAATTGTGCTGTTTTTGGTAAGGTTGCTAGGTTATTCAGTCCGGGGGATTTTGACGCTTCAAAGCTGACAGCAAAATTTGAAGGTGGTACAGAAGTCATAAAAGCGAAAACTGTTGAGGATCTTCTACCTCGCAAGTACACCCTAACGCACAGTGATGTCACGGGGGAGCTATTACTTTCTATTGGCCCCTCTTTTAATCGACGACAAGTAAGTGCGTTATCTAAGTCAAGATACGACTTCTTCCTTGTGAATGCTTTGACGTTTTATTAACAGGTTTGCGCCAAATTGCGCGTGGTGTTTCCTTTGTGAAAAGTGGTTGCATGTAGTTCATTGTATACGAGATCGCTTGTTCAGACTAGTGGATAGATTCTTACCTAGACACAGTATTGAGTAATCTACGCACCACAATGCGAAGACTTGGTGAAATTGGTGTTAATGAGATAACGATGATGATTTTGCACAGCTTACAGACTGGTATACACGGCTGATGAGGGATGAAATAGTCGCAGAATGGAGAATACGTGAGCAGATCTCTCTCCATGTCCATTGCCACGTAAGTGGGGGCCACGTTCTTCTCGCACCAGCTGCTCTTCGAAATAGCATATTTGAGCGAGAAATGCCTCTGGTCAGTCTCTAAATCCAAGCGTAAGCGGATTCATTTAAGGGTTTTTCCACACTTTGTCCTAATTCAAACCCGCCTTTGCTTTAAGTTCTGTTTTTATTGCGTTGATACACGAGTGATAGATGGTAGCTTTTGACGTGAACTTTGATTTTTGTTTGATTACTTCGACGTTTTAAGGTGGATTCTCATAGTGATTAAACGTGAACGTAGTTTAGCAGTCTAACAGTAGAGCGGTTTGATAGACTCAATCCATTCTTAGCACTACAGCTGTACTGAACCAATCTAGAAGTGTTAACCTTTTGTTACTTTCGGGATTTGAAATGCAGGTTCTGGAAGCAATTCGGTACGGTGACAAAGACGTCCTTGCTGAATTTCCAGGTGTTTTCACTTGACCTTATTTTATCATTTTATATTTTATGTTAATCTGTTTGACTTAGGTTTGTGTTACGTTCCTGAGATACCTAGACGTAATCAGAAGGCTGCGAGGCACGCCACCATTACTTAATCTGAAACCAACAAGTGAAATAATAAGTGAATAATTTTGTCGTGTTTAATGAATTTGTGGTCAAGATCACATACCAGGCGTTAGTTCGACAGATTTTTCCATTATGCACTGTTACGATTCGCTGTCAGTGAGTTCGGAAATAGAATGGAGCATCCAAGTTGCTATATCAATGATTGTACTCATGCTTACCCTTTTCTATGTGTGTGTAGAACTCCATACGAGCACTGTGTGGGTGCACTTCCACTCATCCGACCCTGCGTATAATCGGGCCGATTGCTGGGGTCCATTATTCTATGCAGCGTGCCCAGTTAGTCGAGCGACTGGCAAATTGGTGCCATACTGTATTTTGGAACCTTTCACGCCCCTCAAACTGATGGATGTACGAAAGGATCCTGTCGAGCTCTGCTCAGCAATGTCTCCGTAGAACTTCGAGTTGAACCTGCCTGTAGTTGTGAATGTCATTGTAATTAAGTTGATGTTTCGAAACCAATTCATTCTTCAAGCACTTTTTTGAAAGTTTTCTTACATTGTACTTCAGACTGGTGCTTGAAGGTGATGAAACATCAATGTTAGAGAAGAAAGTTTAAACAAGCAGGCTTTGTACACTAGGCAGTCTAAATCACCACTAAGGCAGATCATGAAATTGTAGACAGACATGATGTGGCATTTCAAGGCTCCTAATTTACTTTGATGACTTGTTGAGTAGGTTGCCTACTGGTTGTGTTTGATCAGTGCTCTCTACTTGTACAAATCCATTTCCACATGCCATGCCAGACTTCACTATTCTAGAATTGATAAGACACACTTGAACCTTGAAGATATTAATTCAACTTGACACCTATTTGTCTGACCTAGTTGGTGACAATGTTGTGTTAATTTATACCAAGCACTATTTTTTGCTGACCCGAACCATTTCCCATGCTTGCAAAAGTGTATGAAGTAACAAGAGTTTCAGGAATCTTCTATGAACGTGTTCAATTGACATTTTCAATAATTTAATGTAAAGTAAAAAAAATAAACTTCCAATCACCCATTGCATTTCTTTTTGATGTTTTCAAAGTGGTGTTTACTGATACATTCATGTAAATGCATTTTTATAGATTGCAATGATTGAGAACACTTGCTAGTTAAAGTTTGTTAAGGATAAATCAAGTACAATAGACTAAGTAAGTGGGTCTCGTCTGTCCAAGTGTAAAGTTTCTCATGGGACCAGATGTAAAAGCGTCCATTGTTTGAAACAAGGGGTTCCCTTTAGATGAAATGTGAGGTGATCTCCTATTGCATTGTTTGTGATACATGAATGTGAGCTTAGAAGAGCAGCAATTGCAAAGAACCAATTGTTTGTATTTGTGAAGATCAGGAAATGACTTGAAAGTGGTAAAAATACTCTTTGATGGTATAGTATGGTAGCTTGTGCTTGAAACGTGTTTGGATATACTATAAGCATTAGTACCTGACGTCTATTCTAGAGTTGGAAAATCTATGATATCATTGTGCATACTTTATTTTTATTTATTTATTTAATTTTTTTCCAGGTTTGCATTCTTTTGACAAGATTTGATATTTGTTTGTACAACTTGAAGGTTTACTGTTTTTTTTAGGAGTAAAGTGACTTTTGAAGTGAAGAAGGTAAAATATTAATTCTAAATAAAGGTATAAAACAAAGTCAATTAGTTTTCAAAAAATGTAATGGTTATAACTACTAAAATATTGCATTTCTCTTATTTTCTTAATTTATGATACTTTTTTCTTTTCTCTACTTTTACATATGTAGCATAGAAATTAGAAAGTCTATAAATAGAATGTTGTCCAAGTTTAGAAGCAATACTACAACTAAAAAAATAGTTAGCAAAATACATCTATGGCTTGTTTGAAGCTTTTTTGTTAATAATGTTTGTTATAAAAGTCCTAAAAAATTACAATTGGACATCTATTAATATTAGTTTATAGTTAGTTGCATATTATATAAGAATGAAGTCTCTTAGATAACAAATAAAATATTAATAGTAAGAATTTTGATTAAAATAAGCAATCGACTTAAGAATAAAGAATATAAAAACTTAAAATAGCTTTAATATATTCCAAATAAAACTCAATGCTTAATATATATGTTGCAAGTTTTTTGGGAATGCTTTTAATCTTTGATTTCCTTAATTGTTTATATAGACACTTTGATGCTACCTGTTTTTAATACTTTTCTATCAGATTTTAATTTGTTATCAACATACATACATACATATACATATACATACAAACAACCAACCAACCAACAGACCATCTTCAAACATTACCATGTAAAATTTTAAAATTCAACTGAAACTATTATCTTAAAAACTCTTATCTTGTGAACTGTCGTCCCCTTACAATTTTGCAGCACTATGTTAAAATAATTTTGCTTGAACTCATATCCATCTTTGATTTAGAATATCGAAATGTTCCTTCAGTCATATTTCAAGTAACTGAGACCATATAATGGAAACTATTATGCAAATAAATAACTGCATACTAATGGTTTTACAATTGGGATTTCTATACACAATTTCCTATTGCATTCCTACATCGAAGCTGTGCTTTTTCCGCAACATTATGATACAACCCATGGAAACCAACGGTCTTGAATAAAGACAATCCTTCTCTCCAACAACAATCCACCCATTAAAGTTCTCCATTAAAAGACTCGAAAAGAAATCAAACGAAAAGAAGGATGACCAAGGAAGGAATGAAGGCAGGATAGGAGACGAAAGATAAAGAAAAAAGAAAAGAAAGAAAAAGAAAAGATAGAAGCCAGGGGCTTCGAAAGCCGAGAAATTTAAACCGCAGCCTCCATTAAAAACGAAACTTCTCATTAATCAAATCCTGAGCTACAACCAATGCGAGCAGGAGAAGGAGCTGCAACCGAGGCGGCGTTGAATTCGAATTTCACTGCCAGTCCGGAAAAGCGGGAGGGACCGGGCTCGGCCCAGCCCGGCCCTGCCCGACCCAACCCGCGCAACCCGCTTGAACGGTTGGGGAGTGGGGGGCCGGGCCGGGCCGGGTCGGGCACCATAATGGGTTACACCCACCCACCCAGTACCGGGGCAACAAACCCGTGGAACAAGTGTCGGCAGGGGAGTGGACAAGGCCTAGATACCAAGGTGGAGCCCATTCTTCTCGATCTCGTCGGCCCCGCAGTGAAGAAGCAAGGGAAGGGAGAGCCCTATTCTAGGGTTTGCCCCCATACAACATTCCTCTTTTGGGTTTTTTTTTGTTTGCTTCGATCCGCCCAAGTATCTTTGTGAGCTCCCCCCCCCCCCCCCAACTCCCCCACTCTCTCCCACTCCCTCCTTCCCTCCCTCCCTTCTTTTTGGCATCGGCAAGGTGAGTGAGAGAGTCATTCATCATCCCCAGCTCTCCTTCCTTACCCACATTTTTTATTTTTGTTTCTGTTTTTTTTGTTTTTTATTGTTTTTTTTGTTTCGTTATGTGGATTTCAGTGGTTTTCGGTGAAGAGAGACGACTCTCATCTTGGTGTTTTTGCGGACAAGTAGTTAACATCCATCCCCGTGGAAGTCATAGTCTTGGCTCGTAGTCTTCCCTCCCTTTTCTTACTTGTGTGTTTTTTTCTTTCTGCGGACCCTTTCTTCTCGTGGTGTGGTCGAAGTAGCTTAAACCCCTCTCGCTGGGTGCTGATTCAGCTCCTGTGAGTTGGCTGTGAGCTGCGATTGGGGTGGCAATGGTGGGTTCATGGGTGGTGGATTGGTGGAAGCATCAAGATTCTATTGAGTTAGTTTGACTTGCAGGAGGGAGATTGCTGTTTTTTTTTGTGCAGGGGAGGAGCAGTCGAGAGTGGAGAGGATCAGTTGATACTGTGGAGGCAGTTCTTGGAGTGTATTTTTAATAGTTTTTGGTATTTTAGTTTTGTTTAGTTTTGTTAATTTTCTGTGTAGTTTTGTAGGTGTGTGTAGGTGTGTGTGTATGTGTTTTCCCCTCGATGATTTTGGAATTTGACGTCTGGGATGGCATGAGGGTGTGCCTACAGTTGCACTGGGAGTTTTAGTTTCGATAATTGTGACAGTGAATGGGGAGGTGTTGCGCGGGGATGAGGAGGCTTGTATGATTAATTTTGGCCTTGGGCTGGTGAGGTGGGAATTTTTGGAATATGTGGTAGAGGATGATATGTGTACTTTTGAAGAGTTTGGAGCTTGACTTGGTAGAGGTTTGGAAATGCAGGGGCTATGAGGACGGTGGCTATAGCTTGGTAGAGAGAGGAGAATCCAAAGCGAAGTTGGTTGTCGTGAGGAAGATCCGAAAGTTGGTTATTGGGGTTGTGTGCTGATCGATCAGCCCAGATTTCTGTCGGCGTCATTGCGCAGATGGTTTTGGCTCGACTCGGTTTGTAGTCATGTTTTCCAGGCAGCTTTGTTCTAATCCCCACTGCAAGCGGACCTCTCCAGGGGATGGACCGTGAGTTGCCTTCCTCGCCCTCTCTTTTCTATCTTTACCCTTGCTCATACCCTTAATTTGGCACGCTGAGGAAACTGTCGTGGAAATCATAGACGAACAGGTTGTACTTTTCTTAGGTTCTGCATGTTAACAATCAGCACCTGTAAGGTCTCTTAAAAAGGCGGGAAGGCTTGAAGTGCTACTTCGGTTTACTTCCGGTCGCAGTTTACAAGAACGCGAGTGCTCTAGATGTCCCTTGCGTAGTTCTAAAAAAGAAACAGCAGTAGTTACTAGAATTCCGTGCTTCTCGTAGTCTTCACGTGTTGTGTCTGCTCTGCTAGGAGTTAACATTCAGAGATGAAGCCGGGCAGTGTCGGGTAGGATTGTAGCCACAACTCGAGTCTTTCTTGGAAATTGGAGGGTCCGTGACTCAGGGTATAACTGCAGGACCTGTCGATGGCATGTACGGAATTATGGAAGCCAGAAGGACCCTAAACATGTCACCCTCTGCAATGCTTGCAAGATTAACTTCGATCAGGTGATTGTTTATCCATCTCATCATTTCGTGAGTAGGACCACGGAATACAATGTTTGTAGTAACCAGTCACGTGACATTCTTGATCGTGTTTTGAAGAGGGCCCTTCAGACAATCCGGTTGGTCTTCGCAGTTTTCAGGCTTGTTAAGGAGCCTTGTGTCAAAGCATGAGTGTACCCAACAAATCTGATCGATATTCTATGATTTTCAGGGAAAGTTTTGTCCTTTCTGTGTACAAATCTACCGCGAGAAGGATCCCGATTCCTTCGACGGAAAGGAGGTACTTAATTGTCCTTTGGTGATGATGGTTTGGAACAGCCACCTTCGTTTAGCGTAGCGTGCTGGGAGTTTTTTTGTGCCCTTCAGTTTGGCATCTTGTATGTGCTGAGGTTCGTCACTCTTTAACCTCATGAGTTTCTGATATTCTCCTTATCTTTTGGTAGTGGGTTGGCTGCGACAATCGGACTTGTCGTCGCTGGGTGCATGTGGAATGTGAGATTAGTGGAGGTAACGAAGTGGATTCTACAGCATTCTATCTCTGTCCGAGTTGTAGAGAGGTATTTTTCCAGGGCAACGTCTTCTTTGTTTTCCCGATCCATTGGAATACGAATTATGCTGCTTCACATCACGTAGACGTTTATGTCACCCGTTGTTTGTGGTTGCAAGACTTAGTAAACTTCGATAGAACCGTTTCACCAAAATGGATGTGCTTCTACGTGTGTAGCAATTTGACAATGAATGACACGACGACTGTGTGTTGGGATACATAAATTTTCAAAACATTTTCACTCACATTCTTCCACCTGGCGGTTTGGATGATTTCATAACCGTGGATGTCTTTCGTATTCAGAATTCCCAGGAACTCGCGGAGAAAAAGAGATGTGGTCGTTTGCCTTCCCAGGAACAAGGAGCAGTGGTTGCGACCAGTCAGTCGTATGTGGATAATAATAATTTGGTGAGGAGATTCTGACCATAATTAATTATTCTCCTTAAGTTCGTTGAATTACTCAGGGATATGTGAAACGCGTGAACTAACTGGGTAGGATTTCTCTGCAGGAGCTTGAACAAAAGCCGAAGTTGCCTCTCTCTCTGAGAAGTACAAGACGACCCTTACAAGTTGATCTGTCCAAACTGGATGTAAGACCCAAGCCAGCCTGCCATAAAATTCTTTTTGGAAACTTCTATCTAACTTAACTTCGATGATGGTATTTTTTCTTTCGTACACTTTTTTGGTACTTGACGACTCTCAATTACGCCACTTTCTGTGATGTGGACAGACATCCTCCTTAAAGCGGTACCGGCGTGTCTACAATTTGAGGGAAGTGACAGGCAGCTGCAAGGTATTCAAAATTCACGTGACCAGTCTATTGAAATGCTATCTGACACTTACAGTCCTTACTTTGAGTTAATATGCTGTTGTTTCTTTTCTCTGCTCTCCAATAATTTTTTAGTTCTCTTTCCTCAGGAGGAGCTCGTACTAGCTGTAGCACAACACTTCGCTGCTCAGGTACGTCTTCTTGCCTGATATTCTTGCTTTCTGTCCGAACATCTACATGCTGTAGTTAGAACTGTGTTCCGCACGATTCTTTCGGTAGTCTCTCATTCGCCTAGTCTTTCAGGTTGTCGAGGAGAATGAGACGCTGCTTTCGTTCGCATTTTTTCTCAAGAAACAGCAATCTTTTGCAACATCATCCATGACTCAGCATCATGTTGTGCACCCAGTGGCGAAGTAGTATCATATTACTACACTGAAGGCAGCATAGGGAACTTACCAAGACAGTCACTGCACTACTGCTCTGCTCATTCTTGTATCTTTAAACGGACTTTGTGCTATCTATAACGTGCTTCTTCGAAGCCACTCATCAGGTAGGTGTAACATATGGCCAAGAACTACTCAGCAGAGATTGAAGTGTAACTGCTTGTTTACCTGTCGTCAAATCCCTTTTCTTTTTGGGCAATTCGGGGGAAATTGTGCGGGAACTAGCACTTCTGGACAACATTACAGCGTTAACGAGACTTTTGTAGAGGCTTTAGTCCAAATTTTGCACACTCGTTTTTGTAAAAGTCCATATCTATCCTCATCGTAGAGAGGAATACACTGGCCTCGGATGATCAATTTTTTAGTTTCGACCTTTGCAGGTCGCAAATCGACTGATCATGCGACTGATTGTCAGAACATTGATTCGAGTAAGATTGAAGTTTGATAGCATTATGTCTTGAGTGATGTTAAAGTTGCACAGGCTGCTACTTCATAGCAGACATACTTTTGATGATATCTTTTGTAAATGACATCACTGAACAATGGAAAAGGCTGTTGCTGTAAACGTATACCCGGAGTATACTTACTACCAAATAAGCTTTTACTGCAACTGACCTCGTCAGATTGTGAGAACATTCCTTGAAAATCTAATTATGATGCACTCTGTTATGAGCGAATACGAGCCTGATGTTATCTCACATTCAGGAAATAATAGCATATTTTTAGTCAAGTAGTATTTTAACATTTGTCTGCTACTAAATACAAAAACACAATCATCTCATTTATCCCCAACTCTGTCAATAATGACTCTTTACTCTTGGTGCAGTCTTCAGTGAAAGCTGAATAGTACAACCAAAAGAAGTACTACGTTCTGTCAAAATAGTCAACAAAGAGCCAGTTGCGCACAACTACTCGAGTACCTGATCATGACTTTACAGCATTTGACAGTCTCAACTGGAATTGCAAGTGCACAGTGAAAATTTCCTGGAGTGGGGTCTCCAACACTGAAGCCCTTAAAGCTGTTGGGACTCCCCCGCTGAAAATCTAGTTCCATACTAACATGACTGGATTGTGCAGTACATACCAATTAGAGCCAATCATCACCTTCAAGTGCACATGAATCACTCTCCATGAGAAAGTACAGGTGCATACACTACGAAGCAACTCTGGATTCGCTAGAACTGTGGAAACAAGTTGGTACATGACTGTCAACGTTCACAATTAAACCACGCGTGGCAGACAGAGAGGAAAACAAAAAATCTGATGAAATGAGCTTTTAGGAACGCAGAAACTTTGTACACATATTGAAAGGAAGATATATAACGTGTGTGTCCCCCCTCGTCTTTGGAAAAGATATACAAATTTTCTCTCCAGGTTTAAACCAGATGTCTTTCACGCTATAATATACCAAGAGTCTCCTGGTTTTCCTGCTCCTGCTCCTGTTCCTATTCTTCGAGCAGGAGGAAACACAGGTGAATGCGCACCAGCCTATACTGACCAAAAGAATTTCATCTGTGCATTCAAGAGCATAGCAGAACCTCCATGTTTTGCCAATCTGAGGCATGTGGAATATACAGGTGGGAGCCTGTTAAGCACCTCTTTCTGCAGAAATCAACACTTCCGTTAATGCAAGGAGTGGATGCAGAAGCCACGCTCAAAGCAATGGTGAACATTCCTTGCGGCTTGTTCCTCCAACTCTCTATGCAAAACCCCTAGACTCTACAACGGAGAGCTGTTAGCAGCTTCGATAGAATATACCAGGATGTCCCAGAATAATACAGTATCATAGCAGGAAAGCAACCAAGCAGCAGTTGCTGATCTGCATGTCATAACCGCTGTGAAGCAAGTGATACTGCAACATGAAGTTTCACCAACCACCAATTTGATTGAGAATTGCTCTAGTAGCCCTTTCCTGCCGAGTGATTGTACCAGGGAAGCCAACAAACGATCTAAGGCTTGTCAGAATTCTCAGAAATGATCTTCACAGACACCATCTCCTCAGAGATAGTCATCTCGGTGTTATCCCCTTCGGATATGGTGTCAATGACGGTGTCCCTGGTGACGGCCGCATCAGAAACAGAGTCTCCATTTTCACACGCGTCTTGAGTTTCTGATTGCAAATCCGTGGAGTCACGAGCTTTTCTTGTGCTGGCCTCCATCAACATTCGCACGACCTCCCTCATGGTGGGTCTTTCTTGTGGCAAACTACTTGTACAAAATAGGGCTACTTTGAGAACGAGCAACATCTCCTCAATTATAACAACGTCTGTCAAGTCCAATCTGGTGTCGAAGATGCGGCTCACGGACCTGTGCAACTGCATGGCCTCCTTCACCCACGTCACTAGATCCCCCCCATCATCAATATGTTGAATTGGATGTCTCCCAGTTAGCAACTCAAGCAGCACAACGCCAAAGCTGTAGATGTCACTCTTCTCCGTTACGTTCATAGTATATGCATACTCTGCACAGTAGCATCTCAGCAGTGAGTAATTGCTACTGAGCTCACGAAAACATACAGACAGCAGCAACATAGATCAGGAGGTTCCAATGAAAATAAGCCGCACTATACTCACGGTTCCAGATAGAACAATATGATAGTGTAATGTGCTATTCAGAAGTACCAGGCGCAATGTATCCATAAGACCCTGCTATAGCAGACATCGATTTTGTGTCCGCAAAATCAAACAGCTTCGCCAATCCAAAATCTCCAACATGTGCCTTGAAGTGATCATCCAAAAGGATGTTGGTGGACTTGATGTCGCGATGTAAAATTAACGGCTTGCAATCGTGGTGCAGATACTCCAGTCCTTCGGCACTACCCACAGCGATCTTATATCGCAGGTCCCAGTCCAACTCGCAGTCTTCTTTCGCCAAGAGGTCTCCCAAGCTCCCCTTCGGCATGTAATCATACATCAGAAGATTACACCCCTGATATGAACAAAACCCCAGAAGCTTCACAATGTTCCGGTGCCGGATTTTTCCCAGCGTCTTGATCTCCGCAGTAAAGCTATCAATCTGAGTCAAGCCTGATTCTGTCTGAGTGGACATCTTCTTAACCGCTATGACCTGACCACTCACCATCACAGCTTTGTAGACTGTTCCACTCGCGCCTTTTCCTATGACCTTAGTGTTACTGAAATTCTCAGTGGCTGCAATGATGTCCTGTAAACTCACCCCCGTTCTGGGCAAAAATATCGTTTCATCCATGTCTTTCTCGCTTGCTACTTGTGTAGCGCCAGGTGGACGTCGACAGAACCAACATGCACCGATTAATATAATCAACAAAGCCCCAACAATCACAACTGCAATTATACCCACTACAGCACCCGCCGAAACACTGGAGTCTTGCCAAATAGGAGCCATCGGTGTTGGTAAGACCACTGTCGGTGGACATGCGATCGGAAGCGGCCCTCCACAGACTGACGTGTTGTAGAAGCTGCTCTCATTTAGCTTCGCAAAGAGGCCTGTACTGGGTAGCTGCCCTGAGAGGGGATTGTTGGAAACGTTGAAGTAAATGATACTGGTGAGATCTGCAAGAGAGGCTGGTATCTGCCCCGTCAGTCTGTTGTGTGACAAGTCCAATAACTCCAGATACTGCAGCTTCCCTAATTCGTCCGGAATTCGACCGATGAGGGCATTGTGGCTGAGGTTCAATCCATACTGCAGAAAGGAAATCTGCCCCAGAGAGGCGGGGATATAGCCGGTGAAGTGATTACCGCCCAAGTGAAGCGTCTGTAATCGTTGGCAATTGCGAAGAGTATCTGGGATGGAGCCATCAAATTGATTTTCGGCAGCAACAAAATTTGAAATGCTGTACAAGTCCCCAAGTTCTGGGGGAAGGCTCCCGGTGAAGGAGTTGTAGCTCAAATCCAAGCGCTGGAGTAGAGAACAGTTCCCAATCTCGGGGGGTATGCTGCCGGTAAGTGAATTACAAGAGACGTTAAGGTAGACAAGTTGAGATAGCTGACCTATCTCTTTTGGTAAGCCGCTGTCGAAGTGGTTATCAGCGATTGAGAGAACTTGCAAATTGGAGAGCTCCCCGATTTCAGACGGGATGATGCCACTGAATAAGTTGCTCCTAAGCTCCAGCTGTCGCAAATGGCGAAGACTCGGAACCTCCAGCAGAATCTCACCCGTTAGTAAGTTAGCCTCCACGTCGAACTGTTGCAGGGACATGCAACCGAGTAAACCCTGCGGGATGGTCCCCGTCAAGCGGTTAAATGCCAGATGTAACAGGGTCAAGGAACCCTTGGCACATACTTGCGGGGGGATGCTTCCCGTAAGAATATTGTGAGACAACTCCAAAATGGTGAGGTTGCTGAAACTCCCAAGCAAAGGGGGAATATCGCCAGACAAATTGTTGCTAAATATTTGAAGCTTTGTCAAGGTCGGAGACTCTTGCAGAGAAGTTGGAAGATTCCCACTAAGGTTATTGAGGGATAGATCCAGAAACGCTAGCTTGGGTGCTAATCCAGCAGCTAATGGAATCGACCCGGAGAGTCTATTCTCGAACAGATGCAATAATATCAAATTGGGCAAACGGAATATGGACAAAGGAATGCCACCAGTTAAAAAATTCTCTGAAAGATCGATCTCTCGAACGGAGGTTAGGTTGCCGAGACTCTCAGGGATGGAGCCCACAAAATTATTGGAATAAATGTACAGTTTGTCCAATAAAGGAAGGTATCCTATCTCGGGTGGAATTGTCCCCCTAAGCTCGTTTCTGTAGAGCGCCAGCAGCTGGAGCTGCTTGAGATTGCCCAACTCCGGCGGTATACTCCCTTCTAACAAATTATCCCATAGCACCAGCTGCGTGAGATTCGTCAAAAGGCTAAGCTGCGGGGGTATTATACCTGTCAACTTATTCTGAGCAAACCCAAGGAACAAGAGGTTTGTGCAGTTCGAAATTTCCACTGGGATGGGGCCTCCTATGACATTTTGCCCAGCTCGAATATAACGCAGCTCCTTCAAATCCCCTAAAGACGCCGGCAGAGGGCCGGTCAAATTGTTAGTGTAGCACAGCAACTCCTGCAGAGCGCTCATCTGACCAATTTCAGGTGGTATGGGTCCCTGGAGGTCATTGTTCATCAGGTAGAGCGACTCCAGCGCGCGGAGCTTCCCAATCTCAGCGGGGATGTTGCCAGTGAGGTTATTCGTACTCAAATCTAGATAAATCAAACGAGACAGCCCCCCGATTTCCTTCGGAATGGACCCGGTCAGCCGGTTCGACGACAGGTTAAGATACCGGAGGGCCGCAAGCTTGCCAATGCTGGGAGAGATAGTACCTGAAAAGTTCAGATCCGCAAGATACAAATCCCACACTCGGTGCCGGGAGTTATTTGGGCAAAATACCCCAGTCCATTCGCACGGGAACTGGTCATCAGGGTTCCAATCGCTCAGGTACCCATACGGGTCGTTCAAACTCCTCCTGACCTCGAGGAGGGCTTTCCCATCTGGCGACAAGCCATCACAACCCCAACATGACAACACCACTACCAAGTTCACAGCGAGTGCCCAATAATGCACCCAGCGTCTCCCCCTCATGACGTCCCGCCACGCCCCTCTCCTCCTCATGCCGAGCTATGTCCAAAACCACATAGCCACCACCATAGCCACAGTCCCTCCCCCGCCCCCAAACTCCATGAACTCTCCACCCTCCGGAAAACAAAATTCCTCCAAATCTCCCCAAAACTCCCACCACTAGCACAACTCGCACCCTAGCGTTCAACACCGCCGCAAACGTCCACCGCCTTCACAAACAACTCTCGCTCTAGGAAAAACCACGTGCCACCCAGCCATGGATGGCTGCAACTCCCGAGTCCCGAGACGATTTCCTCCCACCACACCACCAGACCATGGGTCATATCATTCAACAAACTGCGAAAATCTCCAGCAATAATCGAAGCTCTGACCTGTTCCCGTCACGTCCCCCTCCCAACAATTCCACCATATCGCGGCAGCCGGCCTCCATACCCAACGACGATGGCCCGTCTGCCTGCTACCGACGCTGGAGGTGCACGCCCTGCCTCTTCAAGGGGACCACCAGGCTGCTGCTGCTGCTGCTGCTACTACTGCTACTCATAATTCCCGCACAAACTGTAGTCCTAGTAGTAGTAGTAGTAGTGAGCAAATCCCTTCCACATCCGTTTCTTCTTCAGCCATATCCAAGTGCTGCTGCTGCTTTACCCACCCCACCACTCTATCATCACTCGAACCTCCCTTCTTCCTCGCTTGAGATCGATTCGGTGGCCCGGGTGAAGCTCATTTCGCAATCTGGGTGTTGTTCGTTTTTGGTTTTGTTGGCCATCCATGTAAGCGAGCCACATGCAAGAAAACTCCTTTACTTCGGGGAGTGGAGGGACCCCAGCAAAGCAACATCAACTAGTGGGGGTGTAGTATCCAGAGGTACTGAGTATTGGTGGGGCTCATCAGCGCCTCTCCCCCTTGGAAATGGCGGACTCTGCGGGATCATAGCCCAGCCCTACTTGAGGAACATGAGGAAGGGATGACAAGTCACACAACGAAAAGGAAAAAACAACACAAAAAAACAACAAAAAATACAACAAAAAAATCGGAAAACGAGAAACTGGAAGGAAAGAGACGCCCCCACGGTCATGCACTCTCCTGCTTGCGTCGATGGATGGATGGATGGATACACGGTTGTAGATTTTGTGTATAGATGAATAGGATTTGTGGATGGATGGATGTATGTCACTGTGAATGGATGGATGGATGGATGTCACTGACAATGGATGGATGTCACTGATAATGGATGGATGGATGGATGGATGTCACTGACAATGGATGGATTGATGGATGGATGTCACTGACAATGGATGGATGGATGTCACTGTGAGTGGATGAGTTTCATTTTCTCTGTTTTTAGTTTTGCTTTTTGGGGTTGTGTTATTTTGACTTTGGCTTTGGCTTGCTTGCCATGCTTGCTCACCATTCTTGGACATGATGGGTATTTTATTGTAAATATTTATAAGACATTTTTTTATTTACTTCTCTGAAAATGTAGGGTTGCCTTGTAATTTGGAAAGGGAAATTTTGTTCACGCAATGTTTGTGTGTGTGTATATGTGTGCACTTGTGAAATGACCTATTCACTGTAGGAGATTTTTATTGAGATTTTCTATTAGTAAGAAGAGAGTAAATAGGAAATAATGAAATAAGAATAGTTCGATTGTCAAGAGTATATATTCAATGTGTTGAGACATGTTTTGGGATCAATTGCACATGTATTTTTGTTTTCTGCTCTGTTTTTAACTGTATAAAACATCTGCCAATTATGAGCAGATAAATATATGGAAAAAAGAAAAAAGAACCAGAAAAATATATAAATCCAAACATTATTTATTTTCATTCAAAATTTAAGAAGCTAACAAAATCTCAAAGATGTAATGAAGTAGTAGGAATATTAACTAGTCAAGCATTGCTGAGGTAATGGCCCCCCACAAACAATCCTTGTTCTAGCAAACATCCTCATAAGATTAGCCATTTATATTTCATACCAATTCAATGACAAAAAATTTATTTTTTATTTTTTATGATTTCATTTGTCTAGACACTATCCAAGACATTCAAATTCATATTATTGCACATGGCATTTTAGATTAAATACCATTGTAACACATTCCTATTTATTTTAATAAACGGACTCATACAACTCCAATGTTTTAAATCATAAATGAGAGAGAGATTATAAGCATGCACACAAATTCATTTTGACATTGGATACTATGAACCTTTACTGTAGTCAAGGGGGCTAAACAGAAAATTGCAAAAGATATATATATATATATATATATATATATATACATACATCTGTCATCCTAAAATACATAACACATTAAAGGGAGGGAAAAATGAGAAAAAAAAATAAGGAAGTAAAACAAAAATGGCAGGATAGAGCAAAGAATTTGGTGCTCTTTAAAACATGGAGCAAAGAACAAATCATAAATATTATATATATATATATATATATATATTCCTTCACATGTGGCTCAACGGGGCACACTTTTCTGCTTACAACAACTAACTATTAAGAAGCAACAACGACTAACTGTTCAGAAGCAATTCGGAAACAAGGGTCATGAATTGTACAAGCATGAATTGCACATTTGTAACATTCCAAGTTGTCATTCTAAAAGGGATATTCTAGGGTTTGTACTAACAAGCAAGCAAGCATAGCATGGAAGGGAAGGAAAGAGAGGGAGGAACAGGGCTCTTTCGCGCCCTAGTGGGACCGAAACCCTAAATCTGTGTCGAGTTGAGTTTGCAATCACGCTATGTAGGTCTACCGTATTCGTGCATTTCACCCCATACCCTTGCGTGTGCGGTATCGTAGACGTCATTCGGCCATTACCCAATAAAAGACGGCCACACCATTTTCTTCGCAGGAAAGGAGGAAGAGAACAGTTTTCGAGGATCCCTGAGAAGTTGTCGGTTTCTGTGGAGGTTTAAGCTTCGATGCTGTTGTCAGGCGAGGGTGATTATCGCGAAGCCGAAATCAGGGGATGTCGCCTGCGGCAGCTGAGACACGCTGCGAGAGTGTGGAATTTTGGAGTTTTGGGTCCCTTCGCCACCGTCGCTGACCACCCTCCCTTTGCGTTTCCACGCAGCACCACCCGAATCCTATGACGGTCTCCAATCTGGACATTGACTCCAGGGGCTTGACCACGTTCCCCTGGCCATGGAGCCGGCCGATTTCGAGGCGTTGCTGGAGAAGGGCAAGCTCCGCATGTCCACTTTGTTGGACCATGTGCAAGTTCGCGATAGGTCCATTTAGTGCCGCCCACTTCTCGCTCCGCAATTCCGAAATGCGTAACAATGTGGTCGGAATTTTGTGATGGGTTGTGTTGCGTACAGTACGACGCTGATTTGGAGTTATGGGTCTCAGTTCTCCTTCGGGGTTGTCGAATGTGGACTAGAGCCTCTATTTTTGCGCCTTGAAAACGGGGTTTAGGTGCCCTAAGACGACTGTGTGAATTCAGGGTTTGGACGCTTCATGTCGGACTTAAATGTTTATGATCTGGATCAAGGATTGGGTTTGTTAGTATTCTATTTGTATTTTTTTGGTTTGTTTCGAACATATGGGTTGGAGTTAATGGATGTCACATTTCTATCCACTTTTGATTTACTTTGCATCAGTTCTCTTTCGCTTTCCTCCTACAAGGTGGCATGATGAGGTCACTGTCGCAAGAATTGGGATTTCTGTCGTTGGATCCTCTACTTTTTAATTAAAATAAGTTGTATTTGATCAAATTAAGATTTTAGATCACAGTTGCTGTTCTCACCAATTCGGAAAGTGACGACGAGGTCACTTCTGGAGAAGGCGTATGCAGTAATAATCGAAGTTAATAATGGAGACGATGTTGCCAGCTTGTCTGTCCTTGCTGTCACACATGTGAATCTGGTTGTCTTATATTGTACAGCTTCAAAATGTACAATTCTTCGGTGGAGGGATGCTTCTGTCCTTGCGTGGAGAGTTTCCAGAGAAAGACCTTGGACAAGCAAGAAGAAACTTGTGTCAAGCGCTCTGCCGAAAGATAATTGAAGCATTCCATGCGCTTCGCAAAGTCGAATCAGAGTGCCCCTATTCCTGCCTAAGTGTGAGGTAACAATTTATTTTTGTTAATCTGGTTAACTACTCACAACCTATCGCTCTTACAGCCTGGTAGTGGATCCACGAGTTGATGCGTGATCGACTTTTGTGAAAACTTCGACCTATTGAAATTCAGAAATATGTCTTCCAACCACATCATCTGAACTCTGAATTTCTCTGTGTCCGTCTCTTGCCGCAACCTGTGTTTTGGATGGACGCGTGTGTTGCGTATGCGCATTGCTGTATTTAGCATTTACTTTTGCAGTTTTTATTTTTATTTATTTATTTTGTTTCTCTCTCATAGCGGGGTTCTTGTTGCTGTGCTTCTACTTGGGAGTATTTCTAATAAGAGGATTCAGATTTGATAACATGTATATAGCAGTGCTTATGCAAGTCTTCCACTAATGAAATTCGAGTCGAATGTTGTATTTACTGGAAGTAATTGGCTCTTGGATACATCATAGTAAACAAGTGAGCATTGCTAGGACTGTGGAGTAGGTTCGTATTGAAACCGTCTTTTTTGCAATTTAATAAAGCCTATCCTACAACTTTTGAATAAATCCTAGTAAACGCCGGGACTGCACTGTAGGGTCGAGTTGTAATCGTCTTTGTTACTATTTAATATGGTATTTCCACGAATTTGACTACTTTTGACCACTCTAAAATGCTTTTGACTGCACTGTAGTGTCACTTCATGGACTTTGACAGTAAAAAGGAAGCATACTGGGTCAAAAGTTTAACGAAACCAGAATCTTCTATCATGTTTGCCGGGGCATGGTGTTACACTGGATTTTAGTCGAATCTAAGGCTTGATGAATTTAGACTTGTCAAAGTGATGCTTGTATAATGAAATCTAGGGGGGGGGGGGACTGCGATTGAGTCATGTGCAGGAAGCAATTCTGTGGTCGGAAGATGATTCTTTCTCAAGAGTAGGGTAGTATTCAGTACGCAGCGCCTCTTTCTGCATGCCTGTGCTTGCCTTGGTTCTTAAGTGATCCCTTATTCAACACATCGATTCCTCATGGTTTTCTCCGTAGACAGTCACAAGTATCAATGGATACCTTGAATTGAAAGTCGGTACCTAAGGTACGTTGAATGCTGAGGTTTCTCTTCAATTGAAGCGGGTATCGTCAATATGTTCCGGATGCTTGGGATTCCAAATCACCATCCATTCTGCTAGTCAAGCAGATATTCCAAATTACCACCCACTCTGGTATTCTGCTCTAGTTTATCTGATTTTAAATCCAGCTGGTCTTTTGGATGGAAATATCCAGGGCATCTAAATTAGTGTGGACTCGTATAAAGCCTGCAGATGTGATGATTTGGTGGTGTATCTGCATGCCAGTAGATAAGTGCGATGCGGCAATTGCGGTGGTCCAGAGTGTTAAGACTTTTGTGCCCTCCCCTAACCTCAACAATTCCTTGTCTACACCGAAGCTTGTAGGTGACAACATGGGTGTGTTGACATCATTCCAAACTCCTTTTGCAGATGTCAAACCCTCGTGGTTGCAGTCTGTATCTGAATATGGGGTTATACTTATGCATTTTAATTCACTCAAAATCATCTCATCTGTCTTAGCTTGAACATCTGCGTTACTTTTTTAAGAGCGACGTTGGAAGAGTGAGAGGGGGATCCGGATAATTTCTCCTCCTCCTCATCCTCTACAACTTGGGCTTGAGCTTTGCAATATGTCGTTGCCTTTCAGATTCTTCACGTGGGTTGCCTGACTCTCCCAACTACTATCGTCATCACCGGCTACTGTTCTGGAGCATGTTTGTTAGGCTGTGAGTAAGCAATTTTTCTGACACACGCCTGCACCGTCTCTCAACTTTTGCCCTTACTGGTAGCTTGGCTCACACAAAATAACATCAAAAATAACAACAACAACAACAACAGCAACAAGGAAATCACACCACAGGCGTGTGAGATGACTATTCGAAAAAAAATACTGTTCATAGATTGAGAATCTTATGATTTCCACAAAATTTATTTCATATCGTGTCATTTGTGAGATTGAAATTGCCAAAAAATAATCTTATAATTCTTTATTAGTATTATACTTGAAATGGACCTTTCTCATGTGGAATAAAAAATTATGAGTAAAATCTCAAGTTATTCGGCATCTGATTAAAATATATGTGCTTTTACAGTCAAGTTTTCAACATAGGTTTTGTTAAAAACTAGTATTAATGAATTTACGTGATAAATTATCATTAAGATTGTTCTACGTACTCTCAACTTTTTTATGTAACAACATGCAATAAAATTATCTAGTGTTGCCCTTTTGTTTTTTATTTTTATTTTTATTTTCCTCTGATTTAATTCTTATTTTTCGAAAACAGATTCATTATTAGAGGTTGTATATTATTCAACATGTAAAAACAAATTGCAAACATACTATCATGAATTAAAAAAAAAAAAAAAAAAACTACAAAATAAAAGACAATTCAACTAAACAATAATCATTTTTACTTCTTTAAAACTTTTTTGTCTTTGATTTTGAATATGTTATAAAAAAAAATTATGTTTTTCACTGTGAGAATTTCTCGTGTTTTTTCCATTACTGAATTTATAATGATTATTTTTACAAGGTTTAATTATGTAGAAAAACACTAAGTTTCAATTTTAAAGGAGTATTCAACCAGGTTTGTACACATTATCATAGTTTAAAGTATCACACTAAATCTATTTTAAGTCTCAGAAATTTCAAAAAAAATACATTGTCCAAAGAGCTTTTCAAGCTGAGTCTTTTCAAGCATCCCTTTTATTCAGAACCCTGAAAAAGGTGAATGAGTGGCAAATCATTAAGCAATGCTTGATTCAAAAGAATTTACAACAAAAAAAACCATTTTTGCAGGATTATGGAAGTTAATCAATGTACACAATTATAAGAAATTAGGAAAAATCAAATTAAATTCTTTCAAAGAACCAATCATTCAGTGGAAATTTTCAATCAAGCCTTTTCATGGGAACACTTGTTTGTGATATTATCAATATGCCCACAATCCTACTTTTAACATGGCACCTGAAATTTGGAGACAACTCGCAAATTTAGTAGTTATAATCTATTTTTGACTAATAAAATGAATGATGATTCTATGAACTTTCTTGGTTATAAGAAGCTTTGAAGTTTTTGACCTTTTGACCATTTTCTCATTTTCTTCCATTCCCAAAACCCCCCCCCCCCCCCTTCACGGCTTGCATTACCAAGACCCGCCGGCTTGCATTCCCAAGTCCCACTCCCGGCTTCCCAGAGGGACCCACCCCACCCAATCCTTCATAGCTCGTCTGCTTCGCATTCTCCTCCTCCTCCTCGATTCCGATTTTGTGTCGCGCTGCTGCTGCTCGCATTGCTGCACAGCTGATTCCGACCTTATCCCCCCCACCTCATTCGGCCACAAATTACTTGCTGCATTGGGGGCGGAGGACAACGTGGACGCGTTGGGTTTTACACATTCCGCCTTGCGGCGTAGTTTGGGACCAGCCTGAGGGAGATGGCGAACGCGGCGCTGGTGAAGCCCAACGTGACGACTGCTGTGTCGTGCGGAGCTGCGAATGTGCATCATCAGCTGCAGAGCAACAGCAGTAGCAGCAGTTGCAGCTTCTTGCCCCCTCTGCCTTCGAGGAGGGGTTCTGTGTAAGATTCGATCGTTTGTTTGAAGGGTTTTGGAGGTGTAGAGAGAATACGAGGTTTTTGAGACTCTGGGTTGGGTTTTGGATGAGGAGGGTGGTTTTGTTCTTTTTTGGAGGTTTTGGAGGTTTTGAGCGGGGTTGGGGTTATGGGTTTTATGGGAGGCGTATGTGATTGTGTTTAGGGCCTGGATATGAATTGGGTGTGCAGTAGCAAGAGACTAGTGGCACGGGCAGCTATCAACTCGACTGGGTTCTGGACGCCTGAAGCTGCAGTTCCCAATTATGACATTTGGTCTATCAGGTGATAACGATGTTTATCGACAGCTACACATGTGGAGGGCCCAAATTTTTGTCGGATTCTTGTGTAGGACTCAGGAAAGAATGTCATGAGAAATTATGTAGTCAACATGTCCACATCAGATGAATTTAGTGGCTCAAAATTCGTGGTCATCGTTTGAAATTCCGCAATTTTGTCCTCAGGTCAGAAATTCTTCGAATTTATTACTTCTTCTAGGTGATCAGTTTGTTTGTATACAACTGTTCCATAACATGTACGAGAAATTGTGCGGCAACTCTGCAGGAATGATCTAGAAGTGCCTACTTCAGGGTTTTTGGGCGAAGGTGCTAGAGCCCAGGGAGGGCAGGGACCCCCTCCCATGCTTGCCGAAAGGTTTCAGAGCGTGATTACTCAGCTGTTTCAGCAGGTGTGATTTTCCTACTCATGATCATGAGTGCCTTGTCTTTGCAAAGCGCTTTGTAGGAAGAAAGTATCACGAATTTTGCTCAAGAAGCAAATTGAATCAGAAAGCAAATCGATGATTTAGACGGTTGTCATAAAGGTTGAACCTGGCCTTGTTGATAGTGGTTCATTTGGCATAACAGAGAATTATCCGGTGTGGAGGCGCTGTGGACGATGACATGGCTAACTTGATCGTCGCCCAATTATTGTACCTTGATGCTGCTGATCCAAACAGAGTATGTTTCAAGAAACTTTATTGTGCATGACTGCCAAGTGCTGATTCTGGAGTTCAATTGGAGGTTTCTGTTATATAGTTTTGTTTGTTTGTTTTTGTTTTTTATTTTGTTTTTCCAGTATATCTTGTTGCGTATATGGAAGTAAATACGTAATTATGGAACTATCAGTAAAGGCACGTAGCAGTGCGTACCGGACACTTGGTGCTACTTTCTCATGAATTTGCTTGATTTTATTTCTTTCTGTCCTTGGCAGGACATTGTAATGTACGTGAATTCACCTGGAGGTTCTGTTACTGCAGGTAAAGTGTTGATAGCTGAAGCATATTTTCCCTTTCTGTGGTTTTTGTGGAAAATATCAGGCGCTTACTGTGCGCTTTTATGTATTATTTTGACAGGAATGGCAATCTTCGACACTATGAGGCACATCAGACCAGACGTGAGCACAGTTTGTGTCGGGCTTGCTGCTAGGTACGTGTTCCTTCCTAGAATCTTGGCTCTTGATGTCAAATTAGATGTGAAGTCTCTTTGCACGTTTTTAATTTTTTTGTGGAACTGACCTGTAAGGGATACGCTTAAACCCAATGCTGGCAATTCTTTTGGAGGAATGTTACTGGAGAGGTGGTTTGCACGTGAGCATGGAGATAATACCTTTTCGTGTCTCCTCATCCATGGGTAGCTGGGGCAATTTCTGTATCGAGGAATGAACTTTGTGGTTGTGATGCAGTATGGGAGCTTTCCTTCTTAGCGGGGGTACGAAAGGTTTGTACTCCTGCCTTCTCATTCCCTTTTATTAGCGAACTTAATTTTTTTTATAATGATCATTATAAAAGAAATTGGTAAAAAACTGCTTGTTATGTAAGAACCTTTTCTTCACGTTGGCTCTTGCAGTTTTTTTGAATTGACCTCTCACTGTTGGTTCCTTTTCCTTCCAGGTAAAAGGTACAGTCTACCGAATTCACGAATCATGATTCACCAGCCTTTGGGAGGTGCTCAAGGGCAACAGACTGACATTGAAATTCAGGTGCCTATTGAAACCCTAAATTGTTTTATTTTATTTTTATTATTTTATTTTTATTTCTATAATATTTGCACCCTCATTTCTAACAGCTGTTCTGTAATTATCTGTTAGTGTATTCCATCTAGCTTCACTTTGGATGTATGCTGGACTTTTCAATTTTTAGTTTCTTTATGCTGCATATTACTCATTTGAAACTCCTTTTTTTTTTTTTTTTTTTTTTTTTTTAACATCTACAGGCTAACGAGATTCTACACCACAAGGCCAACTTGAACGGTTACCTAGCATACCACACCGGACAGCCTTATGAGAAGATCGTCCAAGATACAGACCGCGATTTTTTCATGAGTGCTAAGGAAGCTAAGGAATATGGTCTGATTGATGCTGTCATTTCCAATCCCCTAAAAGCCCTCAGGTCTCCACCTGCCGCTAATGGTTCAGCAGACCCAACCCCTACTCTTGCCTAAGCACATCTGAGGATAGTCGTGATAGAAAGCAGGGAAGCAAATGTAGGCGAAATCGTTCGGAAGTGGATTCCCTATGTACTGACAACAAATCATAAGTTGAGTATTTTATCTTTTTTTATCTTTTTTTTTTTGTAATGGTTCAAGTCCAATGTTTGAATGGATTAAATTTCTCGATTCTGTAGTCCATTTGATGGAATTTTCTCTGCAGAGATTACATTCGCATACCTGAAATGGTTGCTTGTTTCAGAAATTGCGTGATGGTGTTTTAAATTGAAGACTGATTTTTTTGACAATTAACCAATAATTGATAATTAGGTGCAAGTAAAGAGTAAATTTAGGACTGGAGTAGTACCATATATCAATCATCAGCTTACTTGTCTAGAGTGGCGATTCGTTAAAAATAATAATATCCATCTTTTCACGTTTACATTCCATTTTCATGATGAAACAAAATCCTTCAAGTTAGATGCTTTTGACAGCTCATTTTGATCTTTTAAATTATGATAATAACCTAAAAACAAATTCGGGCAGAAACCCTCGCACTCCAACCGATGAATCCCAGGACGTCTGTTTTCACTCCAGCGTAGCATGCTTCACAGACCATGATCCATCTTCAGCACGGTGTACCTCCGATTTGAAGTTTTCCTCCTTGGAACCTCGTTTTGTCTTCAGGAGCAAATCAAAGACGGCAGACCCCTCCTTAAGCTGTAACAGGTAAAACGTTCCTCACTATTATTACCCAGGTTGAGAATGCTAACCAAATGTGGTGATGCGAAGGATATGGATTGTATTATAAAAATTATTACACATGGTCAACAAAGCAACAATTATGCAATTATTCAGGATGAGAGGTCTGGACATGCGATGCCATAATCAGCAATCACGCTAATTATCGAAGGACTTGGGTGCACGAGGATCAACCTCGATCCAGTGCACAGTAGCACCAATCAACACCGTGACACTCAAGTCACTCAAATGCGGCCATTCTTCAGAAATTTCCACAAGGGAAACCTTCTGAGGAACGGGTACTAAGCTTACTAGAGATCAACCTGAATGCAAAGATGAGAGAAGAGTTTACAAACGAACCTGAGCTTCTGCAGACACGATTTCCCTAAGCTCGTAAGAAGAAAGAGAGTTTGAGCCCTGCTGCAACATTTTAATAGCATGTTCAGCTGCCTCCTGCACAATCGGGGCTTCGGTTGGCACAATCTGCTTACCGACAGGTACGCAGCTATGCTGAGAGACTTTCGTAAGGGGTACCCCTGCATTGTGACATATCTCTGGGCACAACTTAGAATTAAACCATCCATTCCTTTATTCCATAACCTCAGAGAATCTAATACGAAGTCATCAATGTGGTTGACAAATCATATGTCAACCACTAGATTCGCGATGGCTGGGTGGTAGATAGTCTACCACATTGTTCGAGACGACTCAACTAATTGCTACCAAAAACGAACAGTGAATAAAGATCAACGAGAAGGGTAGGGACACATCACACCAACCTTCGGTCTTGACACCCGTGTCAGCGGATGTTAACCCACCATCTACGGATTTGAATTCTTCCAATTTCCTGGAGGAGCCCCCTGGTTTTACCCACACCTTGGCCTCATACTGCTTGAGCTGACTGCCCTCCTCAACCTCGATCACAAAGTGGTACATTAGGCCTGATACCACCTGCTTATGGCAGGACACCACCTTGGAGAAATTCATCTTCTCTAAACTATTCTGTAATGACATTGGACACGACAGACATCATAAGAAATGTCAGTGGTTTGATCAAACCTCCTAATGTACAACCCGCTTGAGAATGCACCACAAATTCAAACCCGAAAGGCAGCTTGCGAAGGAAAATCAATCGTAGCGAACTCAAGTAACCCAAATCCAGGCACCATGAACAACACCGCACTTCAATACAATGCCCTGAAAACCTTAATCTACATCAAAGCGCCACCTGCGCGACTCCACCCTCATCCCCAGTCCGCTAACCTGGCGGGCGTTATGCTCCGAAACAGCAAAATTAGCCAACTCGTCGATCTCCAGAGAATTGGTGTCCTGCACATCGACCTCCTTCTTTCCTCCCAACATAATTACAAGCTTAATATTCGAAGACAACGGCTACAAGGAATCGCTACAGATGCATTGGCGCTTCGCCCAAACTACAGACACCACAGAACGCGAGGCTCCACAGGTGGAATTGTGGTACCGCAGAGGGACTTCCGTGAGGCATATGCACATAATCCATGTCTCGATTGTCGCGTTTCCCCTTGTATGAATTGTTGGGTGGTTGCGGTGAAGATCGAGAGAAGAAGGCGGAGCTGGAGATTCGTTTGGGTCTCAGATCGCGGGGTCAGCACGTTATGACCTGGAGGGGTCAGGTCGGTAACACGTGTACAGCGTGGTTCCACGTGGGAGGTATGTGCACACGTGGACTCATCGCTGTGTTTGTTTTTGTATGCGTTTTTCTGTCTATTTGATGCTCCTCTCGTTGCCTTCCAAATAGAACCCACAGTTTACTAATTTGGAAATTTGTATCCTTCTTGGATGGGGGGATTTTGAGTATCTCTTACATTATCTTGTAATGGCTCTCATTTTGAAGCACTCTCAATTACCCAATTTCAACATACAAACATTGTGTGGCACATCTTCACCCAATACCATCAACGCCTTCTCCTTCCTTCCCTTGTGCCATAAAACATGGTTGTTATGCCTTTAAATTTGCCATGAAATCAAGGAAGAATCAAATTAATGAGTTTACAGGTTTTTCTATTTTTAAATTAGAGTAGTTACAAAGATTGAATCATGGAAGTAAAGTGGGTCCAATCAATATTCCTCCATAAAAATTTATGTATTGTTAAAATAAAATAATAAATAATAAATCTTTTAATTCACTAAATATTGTACTATTGTCACAAATACACTATATAAGAAACCAAAGAAGAAATTGAATAGAAGAATTTCAATAAGAATGCTAACATGAACTTAATTAATCCAAATGAGTACAAAATCAATACCAAGAGAGGTGAGCTAGAGCTCCAAGTCATGTGTTCTTGAGACTAAGGATCTCTTTAGCCTTGATTCCAATATATATTAGGTATTAGGAAGCTTCTCAAGTTCTCATGTTGCTTGAAGATGAAGCAAACTTAGAAAGCTTCTTAAGAAGTTTTCATATTGTTTGAAAATAAAGCAATCTTAGGAAGTTTCTTGAGAAGTTTCCATGTTGCTTAAAGATGAAATAACTCAAGGAAACTTTTCAAACAACTTCCTTAATCTTCCTAGAACTTTCTAGAATTTGCTGAAATATTCTAAAAACAATCTAGAACCTTCAAAAATATTCTAGAAATCTTTCTACACTTTGATGAAACCTTCTAGAATCTAATAGAATATTATGGGAATATTTTTAGAATCTTCTTGTTGGATGTCCATAATAACTATAAGCTTAAAGATTTACAATTTGAATATTTGAAGTTTGTAAATTTATATCATATAACAACTACAAAAAATATATTAGAATCATGATGTATAAAGAATCACAATACAAGCCTAATAGCATTGAAACAATTTTACAAAAATGGATCTCAACACAAGAAAGATTTGTCTTAAAATCAATCTCTCAACATTAATTTTTAAACATCACACTAATCAAAGTTAAAGTTATAAAAAATGATTTTACATATAATGATGCAAATAATTGTAGTTATTAAAATTTCACTAAATGTTAGAAGCTTTGTAACAACAACTTTTATGTTACATAATAGACATAGAAATCTTTTGACTTCAAAGTTATACCTATTTTACAATAGCTTAATTAGTAATTATAATGCAAATTATTTCTACAAATATTTGAACAATAAATGAAAAAGATACATCTTATGAGCTTGATTTAGGAAATCTATATGTTTAGAGAAGATGCCAAGAAGTCACAATGTTCAAAACTTGGAATTAGTTGAAATCAAAAATCTTTTCATAATTGACTTGATACTTTAAAAAAAAAAAAAAAAAAAAAAAAAAAAAGCCAAAAAATATGAGAGAAAAAAATTAGAATACACTTTTTTCCTACATAACATGAATTATAGTGTCTTCCAAAATTTGTGATAAATCCATTCCAAGAGGTGGTTTTTTAAAAAAAACGTGATAAAAATGTACAAAAATCAAATCTTTTATGTTTTTTATATCTATTGCAATGAAGACTAGAATCATTACAAAAAAAACACGTTTTTTTTAAACCATACAATGACGTCTTCCACTTTCTTATTTCACAAAACTTCCAAAAAAAGATAAGAAAACTCTTCACCAACCAACGTGAAAGCTTTAGACCATTGACATTTGAAGTGAGATTCTAGATTTAAAACCCCTTTTTTCCAACAGAGTTTGATTTAAATTACTGGTCAATATGACTTCGACTTGTATCTATTCAATGCAGCATACTAAAGATTCCAGGACAGAGATGTGTACTCGACACAGGCAGTGAAGGATTGCGATGCGAAGGCTTATCGACCCATCGAACAGAAAGCATTAAAGATAGCAAGACTTGCTCATGTGTGATTCCCACCACAACCAAAACCGCTCGACACTTAGTTTCTGAACGGCTAAGCTTAGCATTTCAGGATCAGTGCAGACTACCAAACAACTTTGTCTGAACCTCGATGTCGAATTATGTAACATACCTAGGTCTAAATCTTCAAGAATCCGGATAGAATTTTGCATCAAATTCCCCTAAAAGACGAGCATGCAAGCCTGCAAATTCTCCAAAAATCTTTCTGATTAAGATGATATATACATGTAGAGTGAACTCGGTTCTGGATAATCTGTGGTTCAAAATTAGGTGACTTTACAATTACCTGTCCGAGACACTACAAAATCCCTAGGTTCAAAGAGAATACGGCCATTCCCTCCCAGTAATGAAGATGCTCACTCGGAGGAAGAATGCGAACACTATTACATCGTTTCTTCGTCCTTCGCTGCCAGAACAAGTTTCTTCAAAATAGCCTCTGTAGAGAAATGCGCATTCTCAACCGCCTTAGAAACTTTAGTCCACTTCTCACCATGCCGAGGCTCAGCAGCTGAACATCTCTGAATTACATCCTGTTGCACATCCTCGCCCGAATGCTGAAGCTCAAACTTGTACAGCTGGGCCCAGAAGTCTCCAATGTCAGGAGCCAAAGTCACAGCTCGATTCAACCAACTTCTTGCCTTGTCCACCTTACGGTCCTGCCAAAACAACTTCGCAACAGCTGCAATAACATATGGGTCCTGATCACAGCGTTTCAACGCATCAACACTCTTAGACTTGCGTTGAGGTCGTGGAGCCATATCGATGGCTTCTGCCCATAGGCGTCCACTAGAAGGACAATCTTGTAGAGCCTTGGCCATCAGAGACTCTGCATCCTTCTTGTTTCCAGCATGAGCCTCGACGCGGATGGCAGCCAGCCAAAGCTCAGGATTGTGTGTATTCTTGAGCCTGGCCTTCGTGAGAACAGCTCTGGCCTTACTCAAACCACCCAACTTCTCTTCCAAGGCAGCCGCAGATAACCAAAGTGGAATACTGTGAGGACAATTCCGCAATGCTCTCTCGTACGTCTCTCGCGCTGCTTCAGGCTGGCCAAGACGATCCTTGAGCTGCCCTAGCATAAGCCATAGCTTGTGGAATTGTGGAAATCTTTCCAGACCTTCTTCCAACAATTCTCTCTCCTTGTCCACATTTCCTATCTCACGCTCCACTATCGCTGACTTCATCCAGACCCGCTCAGTGCCTCCTCTCTCTCTAGCCTTTGCTAACAGCATCCGAGCTCTCTCTGGTTCATGATTCTCAAACTCTAATTTAAAGGCAGCCAACCAAATCTCCTCGGAATTAGGTATAGCAGCATAAGCCTCTTGAAGAATGGCACGAGCTGAAGGAACATCCCCAGCTAACCACTTCTCCTTGGCACCCATGAGCCACAACACTTCAGCCTGAGGGCAATAACCTACCGCCTTCTTCAACATGGCGTCCAGAGATTCCCGAGTTCCATGACTCTTCTCCAATTGTGCGGCTCGCAACCAAACACTCTTCTTGCCCGGAAAGAACGTCAATGCATGAGCGTAAATTGCTCGAGCTGTTTCCACAGATCCACGTTTCTTGCACTCATCCGCGTCTGCCACCCATGTTCTTTTCCTGTCCTCTTCTTCTACTCCAATGCCGATAGTTGAGGTAATGATAGCTTGGCAAGTCGCCACTGAGCCGGCACGCTCCGCTGCTTCTGCCTCCTTCATCCAGGCTTCCCTGTCTATAGAAACTCCATCGCGTTGGAGCGTACGAATAGCTCTGTCAATGATCTTGCCCACCATAGCTATATTCCTGTTAGCTTCTTCTAGCTTAGCTGCAGTAATCCATATACTTGTCTCCGTTGGTAACATTTCACGTGCTTTGTTAAGAACACGCTTTGCATTATCGTAGGTCTCAAGGCGAGCCAAAGCCAGCCAAAGCTCCACGTGAAGAGGACAACATTCAACGGCTCGTGAGAGAAGGATTCTTGCATCATCTTCCTTGGCGAGTTCAACTACAGCTTTCCAAATCCTCACAGAGTCTGGTATATGTTCAAGTGCTTTCCGCAACACCCGTGACTTGCTGATATCATCACTCTCAAGTTTCGACGCTTGCATCCACAACTTCACAGAATTAGGGATGGCCATAACTCCCTGAGCCAAAACAGCTTTGGCATTCTGGGGAGTCGCTAACCGGCAGGCCTCAAGCCAGACATCCTCGTTTTGAGGGCATTCCTCGCATCCTTGCTGTATGAAATTCCTGGCTGCTTGAATTTTTCCGGCAACCTCTTCCAGACGCGCAGCTGCAATCCAACCAGGGGCATGCTTCGGGTTCGTCTGTATGACAGACTTTAGCAATAACCTAGCCTTTTTTATGTCAGAAATTTCGGCGTCGCTATTGATTTTCATGCTTTTTAGATCGGTGAGATACCCCTTTGGATCTACGACAGTCAATCCGCTCACAGAATCGGAAAGACGATCCAGCTTAAGGGATAACACTGTACCTCTTCCTTCTCCAACGGCTGTAAGATCTGTAACAGGAGTCTGCCCGTACGGGGTTTCCACACCCGCAGCTCTGGACCGAGGGTCAAGCGCAGTTGCATGTTCATGTTCCTGCTTGGCACGTTCAAAAAGAGTGTCTGGTGGGGGAACAAAACTCTCAAATCTTTTCTTTTTGTTTCTCAGCGAATAGTCCCCGATTTCTGGTATACTATCCCACTCCGAGGCTGATAAAGTCACTAACTTCCGCTTCAAATCTGCAAACTGCTCTGTAATTTTAGGATTAGAAGCACGATACTTCTCGATTTCTTTCTTCAGACGTGCCTCCCGGCGATCCTTCCGCCTGGAGTCCATGCGCTTGTCAATATCCTCCCATACGGCATCAGCCTCCTTGTCATCTTCATCATACTCTCCAGAAGCAAATAATCCCACATCATTTCCTTCAAACTCGTCGAACTTCTGATTTTCATCATACCCTTTCTCCTCCGCTTCCTCCTCCTCCTCTTCGTTTCCTCCTTTGCCTTTCCCACGCCCAGCTCCTGCTATCGCTGCTGCAGCTCCTCCGATTGTAGTCGCAGTCCTGTCCGGCAAATCAGGTGCAGCTCTTGCAGGTCCAATATCAGACCTAGTGGTGAACCCGGTGGCACCACGCCCCAATCCAGCAACATAATTAGCCGGAGGTCGCGAGTTCAGAAAATCCAACCGAGGCTTGGGGACGACCGGCGCTTGCATACCTCCCAGAACTCTTCCTGTCATATGTAGAGTGGAACCATCCGTTACCCCATAGCTTCCAAGCAAAGCATCGTCCTGTGTGAGCTGCTTGTTACCATACACAACACCAAAATGCCGCGCAAGAATGCGCTCTCGCGCTTCCACAGTCTCCTTCAGCGTTTGCACAGTTGCAGCCCCTTCCGGCAAGGACACAGAGATTGTCCTCCCCGCAAAATTCCGTACTAACAAATGCATGGTATGCTCCTACAAAACTACCGCAACAAATTCCCACACTACAAAATTCAAAAAATAAATAAAACCCTAATCAAAAGCCCACATCACCAGCGGATAGCCTCACCTCAATCACCGCAAACACAAACCCAAGAAACCTTCAAGATCCTCAGTCCTACACCCTAATTTAGTTCTAAAATCGTAACCTGCAAAACAGTACTTTGACGAAGAAACCTGAAATAAAAACCACCGCATAAAAATTTGCGCAGTACAGCGTGGCCCTCCTATTGAAGGCCATGAGGTGTTGCAGAGTGCCGGATTGTAGCTTCGAATTCCGTGAAGTATCGCGATTCGTCCAGAGGCTGCGCAGGAAGGCTGTGTGAACGCGTCGGAGAGGCATTCTCCGAGGCATCCTGCGTGGCATCCTGCATGGCATCCTGCGTGGCATCCTGCGTGGCATCCTCCGTGACATCCTCCGTGGCATCCTCCGTGGCATCCTCCGTGGCATCCTCCGTGGCATCCTCCGTGGCATCCTCCGTGGCACCGCCAAAACATAGCGGCACTTCCACTTGTTGGTGCAAGGCAATGTGTGTGACTAGGAGATGGTTCTTTGGATGAAAATTATGACACAATGTAAATACAATACAGTACAGTACAATATAATACAACCCTCCTTCCAATTCATAGTTTTATTTGTTGCATCCAACTTGTAAATGTGTGCATCATGCATCTGTTCAGATTTCCTGTGTGTGAAGTTTAAGTTTTTTTTTTTTTTTTTTTTTTTTTTTTTCATCTTTTGTTAGAAGACAATGAAAAGAAACTATATATTGTGATGAATGTAAAAATGCATGAATTTCTTTTAACATAATTCTTACTTTATTAGATGCATCATGTATTTCAAAAATATTCTTTAGTTATTGTTGATTTGTGTTATGTTTACAAATGCTTACATATATGCTCTCTCTCTCTCTCTCAATATATATGTGTATGTATAAGTATATGTATGTATATATATAAGCTTTCAAAATAAGAATGTCTAGTAGAATTTTCAAAAAGCTTACATCAATACTAACAAGTAAATATAATTATCAGTTAAATTATTACAAAGATGTTGAAGAGTATGTCTTAAAGAGTACATGTTTTTTTAAGTTGTTGACTTTAAATTCTCATCGAGGTATTTGAAGGATGGTAAAATTTAAATCCTTTAAAAAGTAAAATACATAATTCATCTCTAAAGCACTTCTTGAGTGCTTTCAAATGTAATTTTAAATTTATATATATATATATATATATATATATATAGAATAATAATAACAATAATGTTATAATTCGAATTAATGTAATATTCTAAAGCATATTTTACTTTTTAAATAAGTATAAACTTTTAGCAAGTGTGAACCAAAACTTTGTAAAAGTTGTACATTATTAATTTTATGTACAACATGCAAAATCATTAAATGTCCAAATATATTTTTATTTTTATTTATTTAATATTTGATGTATTTTTTTCAGTTTTAGTTTCAATATTACCAATTGATTTTTTCAAATAAAATAAAAATGTTCTATTTTGGTTTGAAGTCTGCTCTACTATTGTTTTTCCTTACTGCCTAGTTTAATCCAATGGTAAAACAATTTTACCAACCACCATTTATTACAAAATTAATACATTATGGCATTATCTAATGATTTTAAGGTCGTTCATGGTATGATCACCACAAAGTAGGAATACTATCTTATCTTGATCATTTTTTACTAATTAAAATTTTATGAATTAGCAAATAATTACTATAATCCCATTAACCTTATTTTTATAAAAAAGATTATTAGACTCTTACTTTTATTTTTATTCCCTTTTTTGTCACATTGCAAGCTGTCTTGACATTGAGTCTTGTTATAGGTATCATCATTATATTTATAGTTCTTGTATTATTTGATGTTTCAACATTAAAAATTTGCTAAAACGAAATATTTATTAACATAATTGTAACTAAAATAAAATAATTAGAAAAAAAAAATACTGAACTTTTAGATGCATACTTCCTTTGGCAATAAGTACACTTTGTATAAAAAAAACAAGAAGATGGCAGGGCAATCTTTAATGATCATAATAATTTATGACATATAACATGAAATAATATAAAAGACAAAAATAGATTTATATTATATTAATGCTTTATATATATATATATATATATAGTTATTTTTTGATAAATAATAACTTGATTTGTAATTACAAATTAAGGTACTTACCTTGCTATCAAAAGCAAAGCATGTATTTTGAATCCATTTGAAATATATTCAATTTTATTTCTAATTTTTAACTATCTGAAAATTATATCATTATTACATAGAAATCAAAATGAAATATACGCAAATTGCTACAACTTAATAAAAATCATCACTAATGAAAAGAACAAAATACACAAAAAAGAAAAGAAATGAAAAGAAAAAAGAAAAAATTAAGGTTGAAAATTAAGTTGATTGGATGCCAATCCTACGATTACATTTTATATATGAATTAGTGTGAATTGAAAATGACCAATTTTCTAAATATTTTTTTCATGAAAAAAGTTCAACAATTTGTTTTTTCACAAGAAGATCAACTCATTGTATCTTTGTTCTGTCGAACATAAAATATTTTTTTGTTTTGTTCAAAAGGCACCCACAAAAAACAAAGTGCAAATATTAAATCATCCCTATGATTCTAACAACATTGGTTTTTGTAAAACCGTGTTAACATGAAACTTGATTGTCATTTACTTGGGCACCCTTTGCAGTACCAGATTATGTAAATAACAAAATATCTGGTGGGTTCCTGACATTGCTTTTGCCAGGTTAAATGTGTGTGAGAACTTTCATACGCTTTCACCAAAATGACTCACATAGAACGTGCTCCAGAGCCTTGATTTAGACACATATTGTGAACAATAAGATAAATAAATAAACAAATCAAAACATTCACAACATTTTAAAGATAATACATGGGGCCCTATCCCATTGATATGAGCTCATTTACCACCCCTCAGATACTGCCTAAGATTAGATTCCCCAGTGTACAGTTGCACCACGTCACTGATGACCCACCTCAATAAAGAAAAAAAAATAAACCTTTTTCCGTGGCCTGGAACCCTAAATATACGAAAGACCCAACAGCTCGCTTAATTACTCAATAATCATAATCAATTTCTGCACAAAAAGAGAGAATTAGAAAGGAAGCTGGAGAGAGAGAGAGCAAGCTTTTACGTTTTCGGGGCGGGGGAGGGGGGGTTAACTTTTCCGTCGGCGTTCGTCACTTTTTCAAAGCACGGGGTGTCCCGACCGACCATTTTTTTTACGGGGTCGCCGGCAAGGGACCGAGCGTGAGGGGGGGGGGGGGGGGGGCTCTGTCAACGCGCAACAGACTATCATCGATTACCTCCTGCATGCTTGCGGACTAGCTGTGTAAGTGTGTGTGAGTGTGTGTGCGCCTGGGGATTGTGACGGGCTTTCCATGTGTGCTTTGCCGACATTGTGGCGTTTAGTCGCGGGGATTTGAGGGCGCAGGGGGGCGGTGGCGTAGTTGCAACGAATGGTTGGTTGGTAGGAGGAAGGTGAAATGTGGATGGCGAGGGGGTGGGGTGTTGATGGAACCAGGGGTTGCGTGGTGGGAGAGGGTTTGCGCCGAGGGAGGAGGGATTGTACTCGCCCCGTTTTGATCTGCTCGATTTTCTAGCAGAGGTGCAATTACTGCTAGTTATTGACGCTTTTCTGTCTGCTGCAGTGCGAGGTTACACGAGTTAATGTTTGTGTGAAGGTTGCGTGAGATTTGACTCGATGTTTCGTAGTTTCTTGCGGGGGCATTCAGCTGCGGAGCACAGCGCACAGGAGAATTGTCGTAAGGTTTTAGATTGGGAGTTGTTATATTCGCGCGTTAGTTGCGGATTTTGGTGCAGCACCGCAGGAATAGTTGTGTAAATTTAGGGTCGGGGAGGGTGTGGGACTGTGGTTCGGAACTTTCGTGTTTAGCATTTGAGCTGGAGGAATTCGTTTCCTGTAGTGGTTTTTCGTCTGCAGCCGGTTGAAGCAGTTGGTCTAGCGTGGTGGTGGTGGAAGGGGAATACAGGGAAGTTGCAGGGGAATATTTGTGTGCAGGATTTGCATAGCGCAGGAGCCTATGGAGGTTGCGGATTTGATGTTCAGATTCGATAACAGGAAAGTATCAATTAGTGGTGAACAGAAGCGACGGCATATGTCGTTGAATACAGCAGCAGTCTCGCATTGATTGGCCATGCTGGTCAAGAGCAGAGGAAAAGATATAAGCAGAGGAAAGAAGGATTAGTAAGAGGGAATTGAAAACAGGGTGGGGTGGGTAGCAAAAGGAGCTTTAGCAGCATGCTGTCAAGGAGATCCAGGAAGCAGTAGGGAGGGATGCACCGTTACCCTGCTTCTGCTGGGGGCAGCAGCAGTGGTGGTCCTGGTGGAAGTGGTCCTCCACCTGCGCGCTCTTCTGATCCTTCCTTTCAGAACGCATCCAACTTCACCTTCACTTCCCGGCAAGTACCTTTTGCCTTACTCGTCTTTCATATTTTATGCTCATCGGCATCCCCATCTACGTCCTCATTGACTTCATATTCTTCTTCGAGTCATTTTTCAGACACTTTATGTAGTGCGGGGTAGTATGTAAATGTAGACTCGTAAAATAATTTGTATTGTGTGCCCCTTCGTCTTATCCACAGAGAGCCAGCAGCAAGGTCTCAGTGAGACTTCCATAATGCTCTCTTCTCTTCTAGATTAAGTCACTAGCGAGAGTTGTAATCGACGTCGCGGTATCTATATCATACTTCGTAAGTACTGGCCTCCTTTACAATACTTCAGAAGTTCAGCAAGCTTTCTTAGAATATTACAGAAACCTAATCAGTTTACTGCTGCGGCCGATGTCATCGTTCTGTTCTCTCTTCTCTACCTATTATTTTCGGAAGAGCTTTTTGTTATTAGCAACCTTAGATAACATTTGTCATTCTCAATGTAGCTCAATAGGTTCCTGGTGCATTCATCTTCAGCTACAAAATTGCCATTTTTGCTGTATTCATCATGCTTTGATACTCTTATCAGAATGTGTCAATTGTAGCTAGTTTTTGAAGATGCATTTCAGACTTGATCGCTTATCCTTTCTGATGCTTATCAGATCTGCGTTCATTCGAGGAAGACGTAAAATTTGTAGTTTTTGTTTCGAAAATTACTTGGGCATTAACTTCCTTTGAATCCTCTTTTATAATCTTGCAGAAACATCTCTATTTCTCTACGTACCTCAGCTAGATATTTGTATGTATCGGGACTTGTAGGTTGGATTGCTATTTGTATTGCATCTTTCTGTATTTGAATCTTTACCTCCTTGGTCAAGTGAGGTCATTATCTTCAAACTGATCATTTTAGAACTCCTGTGATTTGGTTTCACTTTGGATGTCTCTGCAATATTTAGGGTTCGTCCAGCTCAGTAAATTTCGTTTTCAGCTTTAGTCCCTTTCATGCTATTCCTCCAATTGAATCTGTTTTCCTTATCTGAGCCTCAGACATTTTAGTTTATTCCAGAACGCAGAGTCGGTTTGCAAAATCCTTCTGCATAGTGGCTTTCTGATGGAGTGCGATCTTCTAGACTCTTATAGTTTAACACTGTGTATTGAAGGGAATGAATATATTTTAAGAAGAAATGTTTACGTTGTCCCTTTGATCGAAATAAGGTGGCCAACATTATCTGTTACCAGGAACATGTAGAAATATTGAGAGGAATATTATCACGCACCTTAGAAATGATTGGCGTTGGACGCCAATATGCTTCCATTAATGAATCGGATCATGTTTGGGATACGTCGGGAAGTTGGATTTCTACTTGTATTTAGACTATGATTTTCTCGGCCCAGCTGTTAATTGTCCAAACCCATCATCGAAGATAGTCGTTGGTGGTTTCAATATCTTTTGAATACGTGTAATTCGGGATAATACATGTAACACATGCAACTGGAAGTAGTCGGGCGCTTGCGATAGTTTTAACCGCAGGTTTTGTACCAGCGTTGGGAAGAGTTGACCATTAGCGCTCACAATCAGTTTCTGAGAATTTTATTATGATCCCTTGTTGGATTGTGGGGGCAGAAAATTCCCTTTCAAGGATTCGACCGTGGTGGCTGGTTCGCCTACGCTTTTAAAATTTTATTTATTATTGTTTTTATCATTGTTATTCGTGTTTGCAGGCGTGCAATACCGCTTCAGCCTTATAAGTTGCGTTGCGAAAGGGAGCCTTTGAGTGCTCGGTGAGTAATTTAACCTTCAAAACTCGGATCCAGTCATTACTTTTTTGGATAGGTACAGATTTTCGTATCGTCTTTAGCTTGACAAGTTAGTGTCCTAGAAGGTGTTTCCCTTTTGTGCAAGATCGTTTGATTGTTACTGGATTGTATGGCGATGAAGACATGTCTTTAATTTGCAGACTTGGGCCACCGGATTTTTACCCTCCTACACCCAACTGCGCCGAAGAGATTTTGAATCGAGACACAACTATAAATGGCTACAAAGAACTTATTGATGGTGTTGAGGTTAGTTAATTATGTGTACAGAAATTGTTAGATTGCGTCACTATATAGAATTATGTACTTACGTTGACGTGCACACATGAACACGTGTTACTTGGTCCCCATTGATGCTAAGTTGCAGATTTTCACCAGGGTAATGAGCATTTGTTGCGCTCAGACAAACACGTGGCATAATATACAGATAAATTTACTTAATAATAGAGACGTAGCGTTGATTCGTACGAATATATTCGACTGCCCTTTTATTTATTTATTTTTATTTGTTAGTTACATTGGATACTCAGTGTACTTGATGTTAAGTTCGACGTTAGGTTATGACACTTCACGCGGACTTCTGAAAGGCTGAAGACGTGTACAATATATTTATATTTTCACGCCTGTTGGTAGATTTGTTGTTCTTAATACCTTGATGTCGTCGTCTGATCTTGTGTAGGAGAGTAAGGAATCCGTGCATACTTTGACTAATAATGAGGCCTTGTGGGCTAGGCCTAACGTGAACCGTTATAAAGAGGTTTGAATTCTCTCAGTTCTTATCTGATAGCTTTGCTTAGCAGGAATGATGAGGGAATTCAATTTTCTGGAGCTCGCAAGAGTATTTTGCTATTGTCTGCTTGCTCATTTTGGTGTAATGAACTGTCTACCTGTTTGGTGGCATACAACTAAGAAGTCATATCTGCTAATGTTAATAGTCTAAAGCTTATGTAGAGGCTTCATCGTTTCCACATACATAATGTTTTATTGTGCTTTGAATGTTTTTGCGGTGGACTTGTACACTTGAGCTTGTAAGGTATGCATTTGTTCAGCGCTATTACATGTATCGAGTTTTAGTGAATGGTTTACCTCGTGCAGTCAATTCGAAAGCGCTTAAGGGAGCTTAACATTGCTACTATTCGGAAACGTAAGGTAAGCTTTTACAGTGTCACCAACGTATCGATGAGCTTATCTATGTGCACACATTTGTGTGTTTTTAAGGCTGACCACATTCAAAGATTTGGTGTTTGCGCTCATTCGCTAGGTTACCATTAGCCAAATATTGTGCTCATGAACTTAAGTAAGGTTGTGGATGTGTGTCTTATACATACAGTTGCCTGTCATCCAACAATTGGAGCTGAGATGGGGTCTAATATGGCTATTCACCTTTATTTGAATCGACTTGGATTTCTCTCTCAATCATTCTAACAAGACAAGAACGAGTGCTTTACAAATCACCATCTTAACCTGTTATGGAATGTCGTATGTTTCATGATTCCAGGCTGGTCAAGTTTATGGTGTTCCACTTACCGGTCAATTGTTAGCAAAAGCTGGGGTTTTCCCAGAGCACCGGACCTGTGGAGAAGACTTCAGAAAGAAATGGGTTGAGGCAAGTGTTTGTGTCAATGGTCTGTGTTCTTCGCCTTGTTTTGACCAGCAGTCAAGAATTTAGACATTTCTTGCTGAGAGCAGGTGGAGTTTGGATTGCCGAGTAGATAACCGAAAAGTAGCTTCTGTTTTATTGTAGATTGAGAAGAATTTGCAAATTTCATGAAATCATGTAAGACCATGTTGTATCTATTGAAGGATTGAATGCAGGTAGGCAATGTCGATGTAGTCTTTTCAACGAACTAGTTCATTTATGCATTTTCTGGTATTGACTACAGGATCTGTCACAACGGAAGAGACTCCGGGCTTTGGCTGAGCATGTCCCTCATGGCTATCAAAGACGTACCATCTTTGAGGCACTTATTAAACATGAGGTTCCACTACTTCGAGCAACTTGGTTTATCAAAATCATCTATCTTAACCAGGTCCGTTCTTTTCTCCGTGTGTTGGTAATTGCATTTTTGTTATGCCCTTACCTATTTTGAGCATGTATAACCTGATTGCTTCTTTTGTGATGCCCTTCTTCAGCTCTATGTAATGATTAAAGATACCTCTGAATTTTCGTTATGACAGTTTCTACTGAATCGGGAAGCATTCGATTATCAGTTAGAACTTTGAGTGTTTCTGGCTCCAGGTTCAAATCTAAATTCGTTGTATTACATCTCGTATTCAAATGCTAAAGTTGTACTAAAAAATCCCTATATTTGGAACATGATCAGGTTAAGCCCATGTCCATTGGGATGTCGGCAGGTGGTCCCGACAAATCACAGTCAAAGCGAGTGGATCTTTGGACTAAGAATGTGTTGGAGTATATACAGACATTGCTGGATGATTTATGCCAGGCTGGGGGTGCTTCTGGATCACGCTCTCAAGTTCTGCCTACGAGGAGTGCTTTAGTTGAGAAAGAGCCTGATGTGCTTACTAAATGGCGATATGTCGTACGCTTGGCACAATGGCACTACACAGAAGGGCTGCTCAATCGGACTCAAGTTGTCGACTGGACTTTGAAGCAACTCCAGGTAGAACTAAGCATACTAAGTACTAGCTTTTGTAACATGGTTGTTTCTTCGTGGAGTGAGGTTAGTTCGTTGTGTTTTGATTGAATACTTCTTGTAAATTGCGTTGAATTTTTGAAATACCAATTAAGTATTTTAAGATGAACTGGATTATTATCAGATGGTTTGCTGACTAGTATGGGTTAAACTTCTACAGGACAAGGAGAGTTTAGAGGCTCTAGAGCTTCTTTTGCCGATAGTACTTGAACTCATCGATGGCATATCTTCGTCTCAGATACATTCTCGGATGCTTATTGAACTATGTCTTCAGTGGCTCCGTAAGCTCTACTCGTCAGGGCACGTGCCCAGCACTGGTGATAGTTCACAAAATAATCAGGTAGCAGACACATTAGTGAAGCTACTGCAATATCTCCTTCTTGTCGTTCCTGACACCTTCGTTGCATTGGATTGTTTTCCTTTGCCCCAGCCTGTGAGCTTGGGTGGCAGCAATAGCTCAGCCATTGAAAGTTCATCCAACGATCTTGGCAGGGTGAACTCTTTGGATGAAGATCAATCTATCTTTAACGCCAAGGGGAAGAGAAAGACGAATTTTGAGGTTGGGGTAGACGAATCAGTGGATCTTATAGAGAGACGTACTGCGTCTCTTGCAAGAGCTGTGAGTCCTACTTTACTGCGCAACAATGAAGGGAGAATTGTGCAGGCTCTGGACAAAGCTCTGGAAAAAGGAGACATCGCAGGTGCTTATCGAAGTGTGTACGACGAGGAGTTTTGCAGGAGTGATAATTTGCCAACTGATTGGCGAGCAGATGTTATATCTCGCACTACTTTCAATCTTTCTGGTCCGGTCAATCCATCAGAGCTTTACCCAGTACGATTTTTGTGCGAGTGGGCTGTTTGTGACTTTCGAGACAGCAGAGGCATTGTGAGCAAGATAGTACGGAAACAATGTGCTTGCAGGGATATGTCACGTGTTTATGTGGCCGTCTCAGTGTTGCGGATGAGGTTAGCAGAAATGGATTTAAAGATTGGTTCTCACTCCTCGGACCCTAGGTTGCCGGAGCATTTCCACTGCGACTTCCCTATGTCTCGTGGCGGTGTGCCGGTGCAGGTTCGAAGCAGAAAGAGTAAAAAGGAGCATGCTGTGCATGCACGAATGGGACGCTCGTTAAAACACAATGATAGCGACTTCCTTGCGCTGCAAGCTTATTCTCATAACTCAGTTGCAATACATGACTTGGTATACGCTTGGTTGGATCAACATGACCTTTGGCAAGGAGATAGTTCAGATCGGCTACCCTTGCTTCTTTCTGAACTCGTGAGGGAAGGTTTGTTTAGTCCAGAAGCTTATGTTCGGCAACTGCTCTGCAACGGAGTTCTGGACAAGCAGTCCTCTGCAACAGAGATTGCCCGGGCATCCAGACACAGACATGTATTGCAGCATTTACCATTTCCTGGAGAGTTGATTGTTGACGGTGAAAGCAACGCCGGACAGTCTGCTGCTTTTCGAACGTATCGAATTGAGCGCCGGGTGGCACTAAATGTCCTAGGGATTCCACGACACAAACATCAAACTCAGGAGACAGGAGTTACCGGATTTCTTGCTCAAAGAGAAGATTCTAGGTGTTCTGATTTGAAGCCACCTCTGCATGATTCTCGAGGTAGGAAGAGAAGTCAGAAGCGGAATTTAAAGATTGTTGAACTTAAGCAGTTAATTGCAACAAGTCTCCGATTTCCTGAAGATTCTTTGAGAATACTTGCAAAGCAACTAGAACCGAAGGCCGGCGCTGGATCAAGTGGTTCCAAAAGTTTTGCATCCAATTACACGGAAATAATGGATGCTACCCCAGGTTGTGAGCAGTGTAGCCGGGCAAAAAGACAGAAAATTACCGAAGGAAAGGAGTGGATTGCCTCAGGATCTGCAATTCCCTCAACGGAAGAGGAAGAGAATTGGTGGTTCAAGAAGAGCCCCCCAAAGGTTGTTGAAAATCCCGTTAAATTGGAACCTCCTGTAAAAGCTGCTCCTAAACAAACCACCAGAGGACGGCCAAAGCCTGTGCGCAAAACACAAAGTCTTGCTCAAATGGCCAGTAATCGGATTGATTTCAATCAGGGAGTATCAACTACACATATGCTGGAACCTAAAGTCAGCTGTCCTATGCATCATCCCTGTCTGGAGAGCGGAATTGCAGGTCAATTGAAATGCAGTCATTATGATAGAATGTCAGGTCGCTTCCCTTTGTATTTCACCATCTTCTCTTCCACTGAGGGCTCGTCTCTCAATGTATAGTGTAATGTATCGCATCTTTTTAGCAACGCACAAATTATAGTGTTGTTCTTTCGCTTTTATGGCCCCGTGATTTGTCGCCGCATCTTACATCTTGAGCATGTGAATCTTACAGATCGTTTGGTTCTTATGCAGGTGACCTGCGTGTTCTCGGAGAGGCTATGAAGCGTCTCAGGGTGTTAGAGAACCAGTTGCTTGTAAGCTGGTTGAATATCCAAGTGCGTAGCCTTCTTACTAACCAAGGGGTCACATCTCCAAGTTCACAATCGGACCGCCGATTGGCAAATGGCGGGATCTCTAGTATTAAATCTTCAGATACAAGCTCGTGGAGACTTGGAGAGGAACAATTTTCGATTCTTGTGTACATCATGGATGTTGGAAATGACCTTCGCACGCTGGTGCAGCTTCTGCTTTGGCTTTTGCCTATTTCTGGGACTGTCTCGTCCCTCCCTGCCAGCCATGTAAACCATGGAATCCCTGCATATGTTGGAATCAGAGGTGGATCTCCTTGTGCTGTGGGAGAAACAACCCTATTATCGTGTCTTCAAAGGTATAATTGTCTCATCCCGCTCTTTATACACATTGCAAATATGTTTATTCCAGTCATTTATCTTCACCGTTCTGACCCAATGTTTTGTAAGGGCGTAGACTTTGACATGGTGGCTTGGGCACCTTATAAATATGGGCTTTCATGGCTGGCATCAGGTATGAAAATGTTATGGCGTCCATGGATATGCTTCCACAGGCTTTATCTGCAGCTATGCAACGAGCTGCAAATGTAATGGCAGCCGTACCAGGAGGTAGAGCTGGATGCTCAGCACTTTTGTGCTATGTTCGGGATCTTTTGCGTAAGTATGGGAGCCTTGCCAGTGTACAGGCGTGGGAGAAATGTTGGAAAGCCTCTTGTGATCAGCGTCTTCGAGCTGAACTTGAAGCTTTGAAAGCAGGTGATGGTGAGGGTGGATTTGGACTAGTGAGCAGTATGGGTGACGACAGAGATGATCCAATTCCGCCTCGTCTGATAGGGCGTCTTGTTCGATATGGGAATGTTATGAAGGACATTATTCAGCGAAATGCGGACGCCGCAACACAAGTTATCATAAACAAGGGACGGGAAGGAGGAGAGGATTTCATGGAAGATGTTTTCCGTCATGGTCATACTCTTGTCGTGAGTGTTATGAATACCGTAAGACAGAACAGTGGTGGTGTTTCTCAAAATGACGCGGCGCTTGTGGCCAACGCGGTATCTACCATTGTTAACCATGCTGGTCAAAGTGTGGCCAATGTTTTGGAAAACTTGGGATATAATCTCTCTGGAGAAATTACTGCAACTGCAACGTCTGCTTTACAGTGAGTCACCTAATAGCACTAAATTCTTACAGCACTATGTTGGATCAAATATCCATAAGTATATTTGCAAGTAGGGCAATCGACTGATTTTGGCACTCTTAATTGTCCTTTGCAAAGAAACTGTGAACTGATTTGTGTTATGAAATGTTCTTAGGAGTGGGCGCCGAATATTGCAGTTTTATGTATATTGCCTAAATTTGTTGAAGAGTGCTATCGATGATCGCCAAATCCGGATGATGGAGGTGGCTATAGCCAATGAAGCAAATATAATTGTGCAAGCTGGAGTTGGCCAATTTCTAGGAAGATCGCCTAGATCTCAATTTCATCTGTCTCCTGAGATATCAGACACCAACTCGACCTTGGCTAATGATTCCGGAGGCACCCTTGGGCGGCCTACTATGGCAGCTTCAGCAATACTTGCGCTAGTTGCAGGTTTAGTGGTCAACGGTGTAACCAGTCTTGAGCGTATGGTATCTGTGTTACGTGTGAAGGATGGATTGGAGAACTTGCATCTTCAAAAGTCTGGAGGTTTGAATGCAAATGGCAAAGTGAGCGTTATGGGGGGTAGTGCGAAGGCTGAGAGTGTGCCAGAGGCACACATTCATTGGTTTTGGGTACTGATCGGAGATTGTCGGACTATACTAGATGGATTAGTTGCAGATTTACTCGGCGAGCCAGCTGTGTTGGGTTTGGCACGTTTACAAAGATCTATGGCTTTAGTGACTGTCTTTCCTCCTGCATATGCCATCTTTGCAGTTGCCTTGAGGAGGCAGCAAACTATTTTTGCCAATAGCATGAGCCGTGAAGAGGCTATAATTCAGGCAGTTACTGCAGCAGTGAATGATATCATTGCTCATGAACCATTTCGGGACGTATGTTTAAGAGACACTGCCGCACTTTACCGCTGTATGTCATTAGACCCAGGAGAGGTGAAGTATGCAGCCATGCTTGACTTGCAGGGATTTGAGTTGTATAAGAAAGTATCAGCGATGGTTCCGTTACGTGCTCGTCTATTCTTGCATGCTCTCTTGGATCGAAAAATGCCAGAGGATGATATGCGGGGTCAAAACCATACCTTAAACGGACCAGGGCAGATTGAGCAAGTTGTACAGGTACGACATGCCCTCTGCAATCTTTCATTGGTTACTCCGTTGCATATTGAGTACGTGTTGAGTACTCCACAGTACGCCCAAGTGCTTTTCTGCGTCACATCCGGGTATTTTAGTTTTTGATTCAGGCGATGACCACCAATATTCATGAGTCCCTTATGCATCCAGTCAATACCCCTCATTCTAAGTTTCATGTATTCTTTCGACCTTGTATATCTTACAAGAGTTAGCTGTTGCATTCAGCATTTCATCTTTATTTACCACTAACTACAGAATTGATCAATATATTTTTAGTGGACAGTCAATCATCTGAGTGTTTGTTGATGGTACAGGTTTTAGATGAACTTCAGGCAGCTACGTTTCATTGGCAGTGGGTGGAGCTGCGGCTACTTTTGAATGAGCAAGTAATTCTTGAGAAGCTGAAGATTCACCCACAAAGTGCCCAAGATGCTGTCCAGGCAGCCATGCAAGGACCAGACCGTCAGCAGTTGGATGAGTGTGAGAAAACGTTTACAGAAGTCGTGCTCACTCGATTGTTGGTGCGCCCTGATGCTGCTGCCCTTTACTCTGAAGTGGTGCATTTGCTTGGCAAAGCATTAGAAGACTATCTCATATTGCATGTGAGTTGTACCGGACTTGTCTGACTACTAAGCCTTTCACAATTTTCAATTCTCCGAGGAATTTTGTAGATATGGGATAATGAATCGTGTATTGATATTTGAAGAGTCCTATACTCCTGCTGGTTTAAGCCTTGAGTGTCTGGTTTGATCACTAAAGTTTGATTTTCTGTTTCTGATTTTGTTACATGGAATTGAAATATTACTTGGAATGGTTGTTTGACTAAGGCTTTTTAGTTTCTGAAGATCTTCACTAGAGAATGTACTTTAGTATCTCTGTTTAACGATAAGATGAATGTTTGTTATGGTAGAAAATCATGTATCTATCATCTTGGTGTTTTCTTTGGTTGCAGTTTTTGTTTTTGTTTTTGTTTTGTTTTGTTTTGTTTTGTTTGTTTGTTTGTTTTTTTTTGTTTTTGTTTTTTTTTTCATACCCAGAAATTACCTGCAGGTCAAGTGGGTGCTGGAGAATAATGATATGTTGCTGGGTCGCAAGTCTCTTCGTCAGCTTCTGCATAACATTGCAGCAAAGAGCTTTTCTATTAGGCCACGGCAGGCAAGGACCTGGGATTGGCAGCCACCCAAACAGCCCCACAGAGATTTGGCGGAGATGTCTGAAAAGAAACAGGCTTCATTGCAAGTAGGTGCAAACTCACCCGAAGAAGGTGAGCTTGAGGAGGAAGCAATGGACTGGCAGAAATCTGATGAGAAGTCATTTCAACAAAGTAGCAGAGCATTTTCTGGTTCATCTTGCAAGCCTTTTGCAACGGAGAAAGCTTTGGCAGATTTGGTGCTTCCTTGCTTGGCTCGAAGTTCGTTGGAAAACCGCAGCGGTTTCGCCTTTGAGCTGGTGAAGGAGATGAACAACCTTGAGCAGCACATCAGTAACCTCACTCGAAGTAGTGGGCGACCTGCCGCATCTGCTTTACCAGGCAGTGATGGCATTCTTGGTTCTAAAGGCTCCAGCGTGAGGAGGGGTCCTCGTATCGGGATGGATGTTGGCAGTCCAGGTCTTGGGCGTCGCCTTACTGGTTCTATTTCCGAAGCTGTTCCTGTCTCACTGGCTGCCTTGCAGACATCCGTTTGGTTGCGGCTGCAATTTCTTCTCCCACTTCTTCCTATAATCCTCACTGAAAGGTAATTTTGAGGTCCGAATTAGCTGAGTTTGACGCAACACGTTGGCGTTATTTTTTTCCACCTTTCTTTCCGCTCGTATTCATCTGGTTTAAAATTGCATTTTTCTGTTCCATGGTGCTCTGTTATGAATTTGAGGATGTTCCTCATCTATCTTACTGAAGTATTTACCGAATTTTTCGTCTCATGCTCATCTTTTCAGGGAACAGCAATCAGGCCCAAACAAACGTCAAACTCTTGCTCCTGTGTTGCTCCGATTGCTTGGGACTAGGGCTGTACAGGAGGAGGCTGACGTATCATGCTGCTGGGACCCCTCATCTTCAAATGACTTTGAAAGAAATTCTCAGGCTACGTCGGCTGCTGCAGCTGCCTCTGCCTGTGAACCTTTATTCGATAGACTTCTGAGCATTTTGCATGCACTGCTAAGCAATACATGGCCAGTGTGGCTCAAACCTCGCAAAATTTCTGTGAAGCCCTTGCGAGATATACCACCTTTCGATAAGGAGACAGCTGAACGCATGCAGGTGTTCGCTATCGGACATTCTACTTCTTAAGAGCATATTTTGGGGATTATACCAGTTTCTTTTCATAAATAGTTAGCGCAAAATCAGTGGAGGAACATATTTATAATTTAAAATAGTTTTTTTTAGTTTTTAGTTATTATTATTATTATTATTATTATTATTATTATTATTTCCTAATTGTTTGGCGTGGCTAGCAGGTGGATTTGGAGCACATGCAGTTACCTTGTGGCATTCGTGGCCGACTACAGGCAGCCTTCCCTCTTCTTCCTCCTACCCCCGTTACTACAGTTTCAGCAGCCCCTCCACAAGTACCTGCGGCCGTTTTTTCTCTTCTTCAAGCCCGGGGATCTAATAGTACTCCGGCATCCACAATGTATCCAGGGTCTGCACAAAAGAGTCTTTACCCTGCTGAAAACAATGTCGGTAAATTAAAAGCAGTTGCTTTACCAGATTCTGAGATGGAGGTCGACCCCTGGACGTTGCTTGAAGATGGTGTGGGGGCATCAAATGGTCCAATTGGAGGTGGGGAGGTTGGAAATTTGAAAGCATGCGCATGGCTTAAGGGAGCTGTAAGGATCAGGCGAACTGATCTGACATACATTGGAGCTGTGGACGAAGAGTCCTGATTGAGTTTACTTGGCCTGAGGCCTGTGCTTTTACAATAATTGGAACAGTTCCTTAAAGAACGTAGGATCAGTTGTATTCCATTTGTATCATATCTTTCATGTACAATAGTCTTAGAACAATTCAACCATGTATCTGCATGTATCATCCGTAGGCGAGGACCCTCTTGGTTGAAGAATGGAGCAATATTACTCCTGTTGCAAGGGTTCTCTTACGTTACTAGCATACATATTGAGTCGGCGCATGGCGGCCTTCGCTGTCCGAGCATATGCTTTCACCCAGGTATCCTATTTCCGCAATGCTTGTCTGATTTGCATTTGAGACTTGCCGTAGTTATTAGTTTTGTCGGTTCCATCTTGTTCAGGAAGGACATAAAACCGATATGGTTACTAAGTTATTGTCTTGGAATGGTCAAGTCTATCAGGTTTTGGTTATCGATATTTTAGAGCCACGCTGAATTGTGTTCAGCGAAACTAATACTTGGGTATGGGTCCGGTGCAGACCTGTGAATGGCCATGGTTCGATCGTGACAGGAGCGGCTGTTTCGTGATGAAAGTAGGGTCTACGAGCTACAAATCCGCTGTCGATCGGTTGTGTTCCATGCATGCCCTTGTTGTAGGCTGTGATATCTCTGAAACATGAGCGTCACTATTTGGTCTGATGCATGTGAGCTCATCATGCTTGTGGATCATTAATCATCATTTTCGGGCACCATTTAAGACCTGTCACATGCTTTTGTGGTTTGTCTATCACTGCCGAAGCCATTTGAAATGGTTTTTACCGGCGTACTTTTTCTCGTCCTTGTGATGTGATGTGATGTGACATGGAAATGTTGACATTGTACGCTGCCACTAATTTTTGACACTTCGTTTTACCCCATATGTATATTGTTTGAAGCTTTCTTGTAACTCTCTTACGAATCAATGGTTCTTGTCAAGTCATGGCTTTGTAGGATAGACTCGATTGACCCTCGACTCTGGGAAATACTGAAAGGTGACTTTGCGAGTTGTTGTGGTTTCACAACTTGAATTGCTTCTTCTTGTAAATTATATTGCTTTTCCTTATTTGTTGCGTTTACAACTGGTCATCACAGGATTTGTGCACCTTCTGTCAATGATCTGGAAGGCTGCTTTTATGATGAGGTTAACAATTAAGCGACAGATTTGTTCTCAGATCCACCGAGAAGGGAGATGAAATGTGAGCTCTGTGAATTCTAGAGCCATTCTCTGTGGCATTCAGACCTGTGCACACAAAGTCTGTTAGCTCATTTCTCATCTTCCAATGGTAGAAGTATGTAGCATGTCTAGACATTATCATAGTTAATTTTTGAGTAGGGTGAAATCCAGCAATGCATCAGCGGTACCAATTATTATTATTCGGGAACAAGAATCGTTACTCGACCACTTGTAAATATCAATTCCAGCATTATCTGGTTTTTAGGGGCTTTTTGCTACTTGGTTCTCATTAAACAACTATTCCAAACTTTAATAGGTTTTTTTGTTTTTTTTGTTTTGTTTTGTTTTTTTTTGTTTTTTGAGTTGACTGTTTAGAAGTGTCATGTTGGTCTTGATTAACTCTTTGTTAATTTTTATTCATTGTCCTAATTCAAAGTCAAGAAAGTGATTGCTTGAGCAATAAAAAAATGTAAAGTTGATTGAGGTTGTATTGAATATAGTTTAAGAGCATGTAGTAGTTGAAGAGATGGGGCTAAATTTTACTTAAGTATCATTAGTATAGTTGCAATAATAAATGGAATATTAAAATTTAAAACATTATTTACAAAACGAAGTTTTAATTAAAGGTGATAAGTTTAATCAATCTTTTAAAAAACATATATTTTAATTTTTTAAAAATTTCGTATTAGTAATAAAAAAACAAGTTGTAGCCATCTAATTTAGAATAGATTGTATTTTAAAATTAGATTTTTTTATTAATCACATTCTTCTTTTGTCAAGATTTGCTTATAACAACAAGACAATTGGCATCTTAAAGTAATGTTTTTGTAGAAAAACCATGAAAATACATAATTAAAATAGTGAAGGTTTTGGATACTAAAAAAATATCCTAATTAGAGGTATTAATTATAAATTTTGTATCCTTGAAAGAAATAATGGTTTCATAAAACTAAATGAAATTATTTTATTATAATAAATAAATATGTATTTTTAAAAAATATGTTATTCATTAAATGTTGGAATTAAGAAAAAAAAATTGTCATTCATACAAAGAATAAATATTAATAAAACAATGATGCATATTATTTAAAATTCTATTAAGTAAGATATGATCCAAAAAAATAAAAATAAAACATGTACATTTTTTTGGATTTATTTTTAAATAAAATAATAAAATATTTAGATTGTATATATTAAAAATTATAAAACTTAAAATTAGAATTGAAAACTATAAAATATATATATATATATATATATATATATATAGCCTTAAGAAACACTACTAAGGGTGATTATAATTAAATTAAACAAACTGAACTGATATCATTATTCATCAATTAAAAAACTAATGTATGTATTTATTGCTGAGAAACGTTTTTTTTATCATTTTATTGTTATTATTATTATTATTATTATTATTATTATTATTACCTATAGGTTTTTAAAGTCTATTTTATATTATTTATATTAAAATTTAAAAATGATTGTTTATTTAATAAAAATTTAATATTGGTTAAATCAACTTAAGTTATTACAAACAAAATATGTTTCTAAATCACACTAGTTGCTTCGATTATTCAATATTTAGAATTGAATAGAAAGCATTTCGGAAATGTTTTTAGTAAATACATGTCACATTATGTTTGCTTTTAAATTTTCAACAAAAAATATTATATATATATATATATATATATATATATATATATATATTCATATTCATATGTTTCATTTTCACTAAAATATTTTTTAAATGTATTGCACAAAATACAAAAAAAATATCATAAACATCCATTATAATTGAGCTTCAACCATGTGCAATGCACTCTGAGTAATTGAGTACATTTTTGAAGAGAGAATCAGATCAATTTTTCTACTCTTAGTTTTTTACATAGCACAAAGAAAATCCTACTGTTGTCCTGGTTTACATTGATAGTTATAAAGTCATGAGCAACAAAAGACCAACAATCTATACACTTTGAACAAAAAACAGTCATTCGATGTCTGCTTTACAATCTCAGAATGGTGGGTTCAAAGCAAACAATCAAATTCTCGTGCCAAGCGTAATTGCATAGCTCTGAAAAAGCACAGAAAATCAGTCAAAAAAAAACACAAGTGTGTCTTCCTTGAAAAGTTTACTATGAAAAAGAAAGAAAAGAAGGTATGACAACGCTTCTCTTAGAGTAACAAGACGATGATCACATCTATGATTCTACAACAATGCAGAGAGCTTTCAGCAATTTGCAGGACTTGCACCAAAGTGGGGGAAGAGCGGAACAAATTCCGCTGTTGAACAGAAAGTTTTTACAACACTAGCATGCATCATCCTCTTGAACAAAGCAATGAGCGTGGGAATCATGCTAACATCGCAATATTAGGAGACGTCGGTGAAACGGGTTTCTCAGAACCCTCTGAACAGTGTCTACATCGTCTGAAAATGTGCCGGAAGTCGAGTCCACAGGACACCTGTGTGCGTGTGTGTATGCAGAATCCGGTCATTCAGGGAAGAATCGCAAGCTTGATTGTCAAGCAACGTCGATGTGCAAGAGATGGGGTGCAAATGCACACTCATTGCGAAAACCACCATTCAGCTAACTATCCGCAAATACTAATCACCGAACGAGGATCACTTGGTGGTAGCTGACAGCAATTTTCGGTGAAGCATCTGTCATCAGCCGTCGGGCAGTATAAACGGGGGCAACACCTTCTTTCATAGATTTGCGAGCCGAAAGGTGCACCGGGAGTTACGATCAGATCGCATGTCCTGCTCACCCTCTTCTTCATCGCCAGAAACAGCGGCGTGTAAATCTGCGCCCGCATGTAAATCCGAAGAGACAGCCTCCCCGTCCAGTTCAAATCCTCCCTCATGCGATCCCCGAGCCAGTCACCCATATACAACATCTCCTGACGCTGCGTCGTGACAATATCCATGGTTGCGTTCTTAATGGGGTGGAAGCCATCGACGCTGCTCATCCCGATCCTCTTGTCATAATGCGAAGTGCGAACCTCATACGAGAACTCCTCGATGGTGCGTATTGGGCTGAATTTGCGCATCTGGATGAGGATATCCATGTCGAGCCTCAATTTCCGATCCGTGCTTACGTTCAGCGAGCGGATGTGCAAGTCTTTCAGGTCGAACCTGGGAGGCCATTCCGCGTAGTGTATGCCACCAACTATTGAAAATAGTGTCCAGAAACCGAAAAACGCACAGACAACAATCAATAACGCATTCGCAACTTGCGCTGAACTCACCATATCGCCTCTCTCTCTCTCTCTCTACCGACTCTACCAGGCTCTTAATCTTTCCCTCGTGTCTAGTCCTCGTCTATGACCCTCGTGTCTGATCGATCGATATCTGCGCTAACAACTTCCGCATCATACAATTCCGAGAGAACCCCACGTCGAGACCTATTTGGTGAAAAATAAAAATGAGGTCTTTTTGATCAAAGCCGTAATCTTCAATTCCAAGCTACCACCATCGCCGTGGACTTGAGCATCGTTTTGTCGGCAACAGTTGGCTCTAGTCGGTATTATGAGTCGGTCGGCACTACTCTCATTCGTGGAAGTTTCGAACTTCAGTCGGCCCTGTGAAACCGTGACCCCGAATCTGAAGTATTATTTGTTTGTTTGTGGAAATTGGTAACTATTTGCTTACTTTTTGTTTGTTATTCTTTTTGAATGAGAGGTTATTATCAGAATGAGTTTTGTTTGGGTTTATTGTAAGTTGTTGGTGAATGATTAGTTAAGATGAATAGTTATTGAACATTATTGTAGATATGGCAACCACCATAATAGTGAACACTGTATTAAATTTATATTACTCAGATAATGTTCTTATTATCTTTATTACTATTATTATATGTTGATTTTCTATAGCCTATGTGTTAAATGTCAATATAAATTACATGTAATAAGATATTTCAAATTTGGTACAAAAAGTAAAAAAAGAAGATAAAAAGACAAAGATATTAGCATTGATAACATTGCCAATGATAAATAAAAATAAAAATAAAAATAAAAAAAGGAATTTGTATTTTACTTAAGAGTTTTTATGGTGTAATGACGCTTCACACACTAGGAAAGATTGCAATGAATTTAATAATATAATACGGTAAGAAATTATTTGCTAGAAAGATCGAAAGATAACATTAAAAGATAGGGAGGATCTTCTTCAAACCAATTTTGGCAAGAGAAGAATGAGAGCATTGGTTCAAGATTACTTAAAAGAGCATGAAACAGCAGCACGAGAAAGTGCAAGTTATGGTGCTAGAGTAGATGATGACCTTGGTGGAAGTACGGAAACTAGTGAGTTTTGAACTTTTGCTATTTCTATTATACAAGAAGGGAACTTATCTTGAGAAGCGTTATTGAGGACTAAAGCTACAATACGAGGTACAACAGGTTAAGAGGATCCTGTTGAGTCTCTTTCAGTTCATGCATATATTGCTAAGAGCCAACATGAAGCTTTGATGGAAGAAAAGAGACGAGGAAATTTTGATGATACGAGAGAAGGAAATTCTTCTAAGAGACAAACTCGAGGAGACAAGGCTCGGGAGGCAGCTTCACAAGAATTGCCTCTAAAGGATACCTCAGCATCATTGGAAGAAAAAACAAAG